GCTGCATGAATCTTCGGCGTTATGATTCTGAATCAATTGGAACTTGTTGGGACTAATTAAAACTAGGTGTTCCACTTGTGAGGAGATTGGATCAAAGGCCGAATTAGATTGTCAGGTTTTGGCATATATGTAGTGTGGCACTGTGGCTTTTATGCTATCCCCGGTTAATTTTGGGTATATATATGTTAGAATGGAGAGACTGTGTAGATTATGAATTGATAGAAACTAAGAATTAAGGGGAGATTTAGGGTGTGAACGGGAGAATTAAAGACTGAAATTAGCGATTTAGAGGAATAATTTGGGGGTGGGGAGAAAGAGGCTGGTGGTCTAGATAAAAAGGATAGAGAAAAATATTTATGTTGAATGTAATCTATTTTTTGTCTTAATTTTGAAAGAAAAAAAAGTACATATTTATAAGAAATTATCCAAACCCTATTAACAAATCCAATTTACTCGGGTAACTATTAAACCCAATAATCGTAATATTCCTTGGCCAATTCATAGTCGATCTCCCTGCCCTAACCCATGATAATGGAAAGGTAGCTAGGTTCCTATCAGGAATTAAACATAATTTTATGTATGCTATTATATAGATTAATTTTGAGGTTTGCTAATACCGTAAGATTATCTATGAATTAATCAAATTTTATGGTATGCTACTATACTCAAAATTATTAATGAATATTTAATTAATAGGGAGTAAATCCTAAGATCAATGTAAGTGGGGAAAACGGTAGGCTTATTTATTAAATTTTAAAACTCATAGCATTTGATTAATTCGATGAAATAAACAACAATTTCAACAACAATATATATTATTACAAAAAACATTTGTTAGGCCAGGTGATCCCAAGAGCCTTGTTTTGTTTGTTTTGGAATGCTTAAAACACTAGTAGTCATAAATGATTTTTGAGCCAATGCATTTTTTTCCCCCTTGTTCATTTACTTCTAGCTACAACTATACAAAAGTAGAGGTGGGTTTTCTAGCAAAAGAAAACATCATGGAAAAAAATTCTTATAATCCCTTCATCAATCTCACGTAATTCTCTAAATCACTTATTAATTCATGGATGCCCAAATGTGTCATTTGGAATGACTCATTCCTCATTATTTTTTTTCTTCATTTTGACACAACATGTAAAAACATAATTTAAACATGACAAGCAATCTATTGCATCTTCTGTTATGGTTAAAATTAGTCAACACGATATGAGGACACAAATACATCACTGATCAACTGATAATCACCGGTCGGCGCCACCGGCGCCGCCGGGGTAGCGTTTTCCAGCGACACCATCATCGTGACTAGTTATATTGCTGAAATAATAGTCAGACGATGACGGAAGTGTCTCGGGGCTGGGACAGTTGCGGCGAGGGTGTTTAGGGCACTGGTGTGCGCAAAAATGGACACAACAATGGTAGTCACTGCTCCCACAGTACCCTCCCTTGCTGCAGCACCGTCCGCCACCGCAATATGGCCACTGGCTGCCGCACTTACGATCGGCTGCTTCTGGATGCGCCGCCGCCGCCGCGGCGAATAGTACCAGCAACAGCGCCACAACAACTGCCTTGTTCTTATTGCAACTACTACTACTAGGGATGGCAATTTTGCCCATACCCATGGGTATTTTACTATCCAACCCAATTGGGTTGGGTATGAAATCCAAATATATGGATATGGGTAAAGTTTGATGGGTTTGTACCCATACCCATTTACTTTGGGTTGGATTTGGGTTTGTACCCATGCCCAAATACAAATTACAGTTTGGTACCTAAACTTAATAGATATGCATATTTAGTACCTAAATTTAATTTTTTTTGCATATAAGTCCTCAAAATATCAATGGAAAATTACGTTTTGGTACCTAAATTTTTTTGGTCTTACATTTTGGTACCTAAACTTTTCAAGTTTTACAAATAGGTCCAATTTTTGCATGTGTAGTTAAAACACTCTCAAGTAAATGGATATCCATATCCAACCCATACCCATTTAGATAATATCCATATCTAACCCAAACCCATACACACATCACCCAAACCCTACCCATAATAAATGGGTCTACTTGGGTTTGGGCAAAATTACCCATGGGTGGGTAAATTGCCATCCCTAACTACTACTACTACTCTTCATCTCCATATCTATCTATATATTTGTATCTTCTTCTCGTTTAATGTGATGAATAAGCTCATTTGCTAGTTAGTTGACTTTATAGGCCACCAGAGTCCAGAAGATTCCTGGATTCCATCCACCGGCCAATTTAATATACGTTGTACTTTTTGGCCTAGTGTCTTCATATATTCGGAAAATCGAGCGTGACACTAAGAAAGGTAACAAATTATGAAGTTCAATGTACACCTCTTCGTAGGCCTCTGTGTCATTGCTTTCCTGCAAGTAGCGGGAACAAGAAAAACTCGTTGAATAACAATGGGTATTATTATTATAGAAATAAAGAGCTAGGTTGAGGGATTAGCTATGGTTGGAGTTGGAGGCAGTGTTTTGTTTGATGACGGACTGGAGATATTTGGAAGCTGTGGGCTAGGTTTGGATTGGGCCCGCTTGTGTTGTGTGGTGTAATCTTTTATATTTGAGTTTCTCTGTGAGTCTTTTCTTTTGGGCTTTACGTTTTCTCGTGTTCTCCTCCTAAATTCTAAATATTAGTTGTGGGCTATCTCTCCAAAATTTTTGGGCTAGGCTTTTAATCTTTTTTGGAGTTGGTTCTCTGTGGGTCGCATTCCTATTTCTTAGGCATTGTAGAATCTCCAGCCGTTAACTCGCCGGCCCAGGGGAAATGGACACATTGAAATGGACAATTTTTATGGTGTCGCTTCTTAATTCAACAAAGGCGGCCGAGATTCCATTCCATGAATGCGGCTGTCAGCTGACATCTCCTTTCCATCATCTCAATCATAGACGAGTCCCCCCAATGACTCTCCTGCTACTCAGCTCAGGGGAGCCCAATCACTCAATTCTCCACCGCCAAGCAATCACAATTTTGTGATTCACTGTGATGGGTCGTTTTTAAATGACTCCCAGCCGGCGGCATATGGTGTTGTGGTCACTAACCACCATGGACAAGTGTGTGATGGGCGAGCTGACTATCTCCTTTGTTCCACCCCACTTGAAGCCGAAGCAAAAGCCCTTTTGGAAGGTCTCAAATTAGCCCAAGAATATGGCACTGAATGTGTTGTCCAGTCAGACTGCCAACTGATTGTCAAAGCTCTCTCGGATGAGCCAAGAAATTGGCCGTGGCGAGGTGCAGCCTGGATTGGATCTATGGTCTCAATCCTAAGAACGAACCCTCAAGTGAAGGTCAAGGCAGTTTCTCGTGCTTTTAATGTTAGAGCTGATTGGGTTGCACGATCACTTGCTAGATCCTCCCTCCCTGTAGACTGGATTAGTATTCTTGACCTAATTTCGGATTTCCTTTGATAAAGTGTATTCTCGCTTTTTTCGAGTTGGAAGTGGAATAAAAGTTGATCATTATTGTCAAAAAAAAGTACAAAAAGACTTATTGTCAAAAAAAAAAAAATTACATAATAAAGAAACATATAATAGCCATATAATTTTTCTCCCCATTTCCCTTTTTCTATCTGAAAGTAAGTTAATATATTTGCAATACTAACTTGTATATTTTGTAAATCATAATGTTTCTTCATTTCAAAACCCACAATTAAAATGTAATACAATTATATATAGAAAATTAACACTAATTATTAGTCAAAAAAATTCTCGCATTCTTTTTTTTTTTTTTCCGGTTAAACCTATTGAGTTACTAATATTTTGCCAGGAGTGGTCTGATCCGCTTAGCATCCTGGTTCAGTTGAGTGGCTGATTGGTAGCTTGCCCTCTCGTTAGCTCCACCGGCTTGTCCTGACTTTTATTCTTGTTTTTGTTCGATTAATTTAATTATTCACCATTATCAAAAAAAATATTTTGCCAAGAGAATCAAAAGGACTAACCTATCCTCAGTAAAATGGGATTGTTTTATACTTTTAGTTCTGTGTTATTATAACATATATAGGGTTGAGATGGGCCTTAATTAGGGCTGCAAATGAGCCGAGCTGAGCCGAGTTTTACTCCAGCTTGAGCTTGACTCGTTAACAAATGAGCTGAGCTCGAGCCCGAGCCATTTATTAACGAGCTGAGTCGAGTCGAGTTCGAGTTAGGCTTGTTTACTAAATTCTTAGATCGTATTTAATACATTCATTTTGTATGTCGTGTATGGTACATGTGATTGATGTAGTGATAAAAAAATAATCAAATGTTCAACATTAATTAATCTTATATTATAATTTTTAGGTGTCATATTGTTTAGTTAATAAATTTTAACTAGTTCAAATCATGTTATTTCATAGTATCGAAATAATTTTGTACATAATTTCTTTATAGAGTTAAAAATAAGGCATATTTTCTTACATGTTCAACATGTTAAACTTCACATGATGTGAGATATATAATTTAACAATCCTATGAATTATGAAAGTCCAAATTAGATCGATTAGTCCATAAGTCAGTGATCAAGTTGGCCCTCAAACCACAATGTTGAGACATCTCATGAGCTCTAAATGAGCTAACTCACGAGTTGAGCTCAACAAGCCATCGAGTCGAGCTAGCTCGCGAGCTTCACGAGCTGAACATAGCTAGGCTCAAGCTTGGCTCGTCAGTAAATGAATCGAGTTTCGAACGAGTTTTTCCCGATTCGAGCCTCGAGTTGCTCGCGAGTAGCTTGGCTCATTTGCAGCCCTAGCCTTAATTGATTAAGGCTTAAAACCTCGGTTACCTGACTTGATCTAATGCATTCCTTCCCTTGCCTCGAATCACCGGAGCTGGATCCAGATTCCCAAGCTAGGCAGGCAACTGGGCAATTGACAATTGTGCATGTTGCCATGTTGGTGGTGGTGCTCCTTAAAAGTCTTGTTTGTCACTAAGGAGAGTCAACTGAATTTTGATTCTCACCAACTAACAGACTGCGATTCTAATGGAATCTGAAACTGAATTAGGCTCCCAAAAGTCAAATCTCATGAAATGAATAATGAATCAAAGGACCCAAAAAAACACAGCCAGTGGAAATTTGGGGTACTTAAAGATAATCTAGTCTAGGCCAGGAAGAACAACAAATTCTCTCTCTGAGAATCCGCCGTTGTGCTCAGGAGAAGCCAGCGAGCAGCATCCAATACAGCCAAATTCTCTCTTTCAGTTAAAATCGATGCCAGCTAGCAGGGCGAAAGAATCATAACAATACAATAACAAGGAAGGGGTAGTAGCTCTCTGGCTTCTGCAGGCTTCTGATTTTTTCCGGTCTCTTTCATCAAATGGCTTCTTCTGGATCATCACAGCAGTGCCCGCCGTTCGACTTCTCGGCCAAGTACTACTCCAGTAATGGAGATGGGTGCGTGAGGCAGGGCAGCTTCTTTGAAGGGAAACCCATTTTGGGACAAGGCATCGGCTACTCTGTCATTCTTGGCTTCGGTGCTTTCTTTGCCGTCTTCACTTCTTTTCTGGTCCGAACCTTTTTCACAAATCACTACCCTATTTTTTTTTTTCCTTTTTTTGAAGTGGGGTTTTTTGTGTTCTTCGTTGTGGCTTTTCTAAAATTGGCTGATGAATCCAGGTGTGGCTGGAGAAGAGATACGTTGGGTCACGCCACACTTCAGAGTGGTTCAACACTGCTGGCAGGAACGTCAAAACTGGACTCATTGCCAGTGTCATTGTCTCCCAGGTGACTCTGATTCGATTGTGTGTTTGGGATCAAACCTGAGTTAATCCAAATTTGATCACTAATCTCGATTCCTTGCTTTGTTTTTCAACTAACTAATTGATATGGTTGGTGACAGTGGACATGGGCAGCCACGATCTTGCAAAGCTCAAATGTAGCATGGGAATATGGAGTCAGTGGACCATTCTGGTATGCCAGTGGGGCTACCATTCAGGTCTCCTCTCTTTCTTGCACTCTATTTATGCATCTCTTACCTTCTTCCACAGAGTTAAATGTTTCCAAGCTGGGTTGGTGGTTGCATTGATAACGATTAATGATACAGGTTCTGTTATTTGGGGTGATGGCCATAGAGATCAAGAGAAAGGCTCCACATGCACATACTGTGTGTGAGATCGTCAAAGCTCGGTAATTATAATCGCGTCTCGAACATGGATCATTCATCTCTTATGCTACATTGAGCATAAGTGCATAACCATAGAGCTAAATATCAAATCTATCTCAACAGATGGGGAACCCCTGCACACATTGTGTTCTTGTTCTTCTGCTTCCTCACAAACATCATAGTCACGGCTATGCTGCTCCTTGGTGGCTCTGCAGTCGTCAATGCACTCACCGGAGTGAACATCTACGCCGCGAGTTTCCTGATCCCACTTGGTGTCATCGTCTACACACTAGCTGGCGGACTCAAGGCCACATTCTTGGCTAGCTACATTCACTCGGTCATTGGTTAAGTTTCCATTACTCTCAATCATTCACTCATTTCCTAAGTACATCAGAATTTGGTTGTCCTGAATGAATTCTTGTTGTTTCTTTGTTCTTTTTGTTCTAGTCCATGTGGCACTTGTCATCTTCGTCTACTTAGTTTACACAGCAAGCAGCCAGCTTGGTAGCCCTGGTGTGGTGTACCGCCGCCTCATGGAAGTGACGAGCAAATCCAGAACCTGCAGTGACCCAATCTCCCACGCTGGCCAAGCGTGTGGTCCTGTTAAAGGAAACTATAACGGCTCTTACCTCACCATGCTCAGTCCTGGAGGCCTTGTCTTTGGGATCATCAACATTGTTGGAAACTTTGGCACCGTTTTCGTTGACAATGTGAGGTTTTATATTACGAACTCTACATGGGTTTTCTATATTTGATCTCAGTTTTTTGTTGTCCTGAAAAACCATGTCATTTCCTTGTCAGGGGTATTGGGTGAGTGCAATAGCTGCAAGGCCATCCTCAACGCATAAAGGGTATTTGTTGGGTGGCTTGGTTTGGTTTGCTGTACCTTTCTCTCTGGCAACATCACTTGGTCTGGGAGCACTCGCCCTTGATCTCCCCATATCTCAGGCTGAGGCCAGCCGTGGACTCGTTCCTCCTGCCACAGCTACTGCTCTAATGGGGAAATCAGGATCCGTTCTCCTTCTCACCATGCTTTTCATGTAAGTAGAGCCCTTTCTCTGTTTATTTATCTTTTGCTTAAGTTATTAGAGATGATCCAGCTAGCTTCATTTATTGTCAACAGGGCTGTGACTTCAGCTGGATCATCCGAGCTAATTGCAGTCTCCTCACTATGCACATACGACATCTACCGTACCTACATAAACCCAAATGCATCAGGTAAGAAGATTCTTCGAGTGTCGAGAGCAGTCGTGCTGGGATTCGGATGCTTCATGGGACTGCTGGCAGTGATACTGAACAAGGCTGGAGTGTCACTCGGTTGGATGTATCTAGCCATGGGAGTGCTCATAGGCTCAGCTGTGATTCCCATTGCTTTTATGCTCCTATGGAGGAAAGCCAACGCAATTGGTGCCATATTGGGAACTGTAATCGGATGTGTTCTGGGGATAACTACATGGTTATCAGTTACCAGCATCGAGTATGGGAGGATCGATCTTGACACGACTGGCAGGAATGCACCAATGCTGGCTGGTAATCTGGTTTCTATACTCACAGGAGGAGCTGTACATGCTGTGTGCAGTCTGGTGTGGCCTCAGAACTACGAGTGGGATACCACGAGGAAGATTACCACCGTTGAGAAGGACCGGAGTGAGCTGCCTGCAGAAGAGTTTAAGGAGGAGAAGTTGAAGAGAGCTAAAGCGTGGATTGTGAGATGGGGAGTTGCTTTCACTCTTGTCATTGTTGTGCTGTGGCCACTTCTCAGCCTTCCTGCCAGTAAGTTCTTTTTTATTTCCTTTAGTCCAGCTAAGATTCTGCATCCGTTGAAATTGAACTGATAAGAGAGTGATTTTGTGATGGTTGCAGAGGAGTTTAACTTGGGCTACTTCACATTCTGGGCAGTAATTGCCATAGCCTGGGGAACCATTGGATCAGCAGTGATTATAGCTCTGCCGTTGATCGAGAGCTGGGGTACCATCAGGAATGTCTGCCTTGGGATGTTTACAAATGACAGGCTGATGGAGAAGCTCGAAGAGATTGACACAAAGCTGCAGACTATCATACTGACTATCCCTGAAGCTGAGAAAATGTACGTGCTTGAGAAGGATAAAGCTACTGCGAAGAGGCGAGAGACCGAGCATGAAGCTTAGTTTCTCGTTTGGAGTAATCTGAAATCTGAATGGATCACCACTGCGTGTAAATGAGCAAGTAATTCTCTGTAGATGGGTTCCTAGCAGTTTAAAGTATTGCCACTCAGTCAGTATCATGATTTGAGAGAGCAAGTGTGATACTGTTGCTGTTTATCATTGATCCTGAAACCCAGACCAAAGACATTTCATATTTACAGTCCACTGTACATTCTGGTTGTTACATTATAGCTGGCAATGGCCAAAAAATGGATGATAATGTAATTGAAATGATAAATACAATAACATCTCGTTTGGAAGTTTAGATTTGTGTATTTTCAGAAAATGCATGCATTGTAAATTGTCTGCTTCTAATTAGATAATCTTTTGAACACAATGTTTCACAGCAGTGATCCTCAGGGCCTATTTATAGCATCTTCCCAGGTAGACACCCTAAGCGCAACACTGCAGAACAGAGGTAGATCCTTGACATCGAAGAAACCAACTCTGATTATTGCAAATTGAAGCATATGATACAAGATTATCGTAAAACAAGAATCCTAACAGAAACTAAAGCTGTATCCTATTTATACATATATCTCATATACATGTAACAAACTGAGAAGACACAACAAATGCAAGAAAAGGTTTTACAAATTCAAAGAAAATAAGGAACAATCAAAAGAAGACACGAGGTAAGAACAAATTACAAATGGCCACACTATCAGTGCTCAGAAGAAAAAAGGAAGACAAAAGTAAAAGCTGATCTTCACAACACAGGCCATGCCTAATGGAGCCTCCGCCCCAACCTCTGAAAATTCACCTTGACACCTCACAAAATAATCAATTGCTCGGAAGGAATTTTGAAACACAATACAGGTGGACTGCAGTTATCTCCCCCAATCATATGATACTTTGATCTGCAGAAAGAATGAATGAATAGAATGTAGCACTGCAAAACCCGGGTTGCAGATTCTTAATTCCTTTTTCACCATTTAGTACTACTGTGGCCTCAAATTTTGGAAGACAGAAAATGTTAACGTATTGGCAAGGGCAAAACCCTGTCTCCAATTCAAAATGTGCCGGTGGTCAAATACCAACTCATCTGTGCTTTTACTCGGAATTGGAATCGTAGAATTCACTTGGGCACGGGGTCATGACCTCTGATTCCAGCAACTGAACCACCCTGTGCATCGTGGGGCGATCTTCTGGGCTCGAAGATACACATCGGATGGCAACGGAAAGCAGGGCAGCAAGACTTTCAGCTTGCAGACCCTCACAGTGTGTATCCACTATCTCCTGTTGCCTACTCTCAGATGCCAGATAATTTAACTGCACACCAACAGATGAAATAGATTAACAAGACTCCTGACAGACATTGAGCAACCACACACTACAATAACTAAACAACTTCCAAGAAAACGCATACAGAGAGATGACAAGAAACCAGCTCCAGTTACTGTGGACAGTTGAACTCAATATACCAAGTCCAAAAATATCAATACATTATAACATATCGATAGTCCTAATCAGGATTCATTTTCAAATGATTCGTGTCTGAACTAAAAACAGAGACCTACAGATGAAAAACAAGCAATCAAAATAAGAACAGAAACAAGACCAGAGGGCATTCATTGATCAAGAGTGCCAGAAAATTGGACAGTGACCCTTCTGAGAACATTCAGGTCGCCCATCAGCTAGCACTTTATTCAAAACATGTTGACATTCCGGCAACTTCAAATTTTAATCAGTAACAAGACACATCTTCACAACTATTTGTCAACCAAAGAGTAGTTGCCATCACACGGGGAATATGAAGTGAAGGGACTTACCCAACCAACAATATTGAGACCCTTCTCGATGAATGATGCGTCAGTTGGTCGCTTTCCACTTAATACTTCAAGAACCAGGACTCCAAAGCTATAAACATCCGTTTTTTCGGTCGCTCTACCACTTTGCATGTACTCTGCCAATTGATTCAACACAATAGCAAAGTCCATGTCAGTGACTGCCAATATAACAATAGCGTTCACTTTTAAACAGCTTAAACACCAAAACACAATTAAGCTATATGTACTGAATCGCTGATGGACTGAAGAAATTAACCTCAAGTAGCTAATTTCGTACAAACTTCTCGCATGAGCCATTTCAATCATCGCCCAATTTTAGGATTGCTTGTATAGAACATGTGCCATACTTCACCATTAACTAGTTGTAGCCTTGTAGGCAGTTAAGTCTAAACAAACATGAACCAAATTACCATGAAGTTCCATTGCATACACAGACCACTTACCAGGAGCTAAGTAACCAAAAGTTCCAGCAACAATGGTTGTAATGTGCGATTCTTCATCTTCTAACAGCTTAGCAAGACCAAAGTCAGACACTCGAGACTCTAAATTGCCATCGAGTAATATATTGCTTGACTTTATATCTCGATGTATGATCCTAGGGGAACAATCATGATGCAAGTACGCAAGTCCTTTTGCAGCTCCTACAATGATATTCAGGCGTGCATCCCAATCCAATTGTTCAGATCTTTCTGCACAAGGCAACACAAGGCATCACGTTTTCATGCAACACTGAGCTTAAACAAAGGGCGTAGCTACAAGATAAGCATTTAAAATATCAATAATGAGAGAAATAAGTCCAATGCAAGATTGCTCACTCATAACGTACACCTTTACCCCTCTAACCAACAGGGCATGACTCCTACTCTACCCAACAAGACCAATATTGAAAGGAACATTCACCATCGAGGACCAATTATTCTAAGGCACAACTTTCAATCAGAATCTCTGTGACCTTTACACAAATCCAACACACTTGAGTCTCACTTGGAATTATGACTGGACAATTGATTTGGCACAGTGCAAAATTATTATGTTTTTACATACCCGCTTCACGTCAGCCAAATTATTCACAGATATGTGAGCAAATCCACATTCACGCAAGTATACTCATGGTTTGGTTCACATTATGGTGGAAATGCACAATAACAAAAGATATAAAGAAACTGAGAGAGCATATCGATATGGTAGAAGGAAGTGGACACAAATATGCCCCCTCTTTTTGCTGTGTCTAACCAAATAATGAATACTAGAGAAAGTCAGGCGTTATACCATCGTACCAGATAATACATCAGAGTAACAGTCTGCAGCTTACCATGGAGTACTTCATCAAGACTGCCGCCAGGTAGATAGTCATATATCAACAATTTTGATGTTGGAGAATTACAGTATCCTCGCAAATTCACTAGGTGTCTATGTTTTATACTACCAAGAATTTCAAGCTCCCTCTCAAAGAAGCGATCAAAGCCTTCATTCATCTTAACAATTCTCTTTAAAGCAAACACATTGCCATCATCCATTGCCAGCTTATATACTGTCCCAAAGCCCCCACAACCTATCACATGCTCCTCCGTCAAGATCTCCAACTTCTTAATAATGTCCTTCGAAGAGTATGGCAAGTCCCCATGAAACATTACAATTGATGCACCTAAGGCAGCAAAAATAAGATTATGTCAAACTCCAGAAAGTTGCAACTAAGCCATTATAAATAAATGAAAAGTTGCCAGTAACTGAACAAAGACCCCAGATGTGTATGGGAGAATAGTTCATCGCACCTCCGCTAACATCCATTGCAATACTGCTACTTTCATTTCTACCGAACTTTTTGTAGAGAAAACAACCCCAGAAGCACATGAGTGCAACAAGGAGCAGAGCACCGATGGTCGCGAATGCACTGACAAGCAACCGTGCCGGATATTTCTTCTTGCTTCCTTGACCTAGAGCTGTAGACAATCAGATGTTATCTCCTCATAATATAAGAGACAAATATGCCAGAGATTGGGACTTAAGGAAGACGGAACAAGAGGTCTAAAAACAGACAAATTGCACTTGCTAATAACTTAGTTCTCAAAAGCCAGGTTCTGGACATTTAGGCAGAGGTGTTAAGTGTGATGAACAGGGCTGGATTGGAAAAGAGTCATAAACATCTGTACAAGAAAACTACTGGCTATACCTGACAGAGGCCCAGATGAATTATTGGATGCACTATCATTTTTACAAGCTTCATTGATCTGCTCCCCACACAGACCTTTATTTCCAGCAAACCTAGAAGGCACATGGTCGGACTGTAAGTATATGATGCAAATCCATGTAAAGTATGACTCTCAACACTGTTGCTTCTAAGAAAGCATGAATCCTGCTTCAGAAGGAAATTTGCCAAAAGCATCAGACACTAATTTATCTAAAATACAGCACTGGAAAATAATATCGACTTACGAGCTGTCAGGAAACTTGGTAAGTGGACCCTCAGATGGTATTGGCCCCATGAGAAAGTTATTCGAGACATTGCTTCAAAAGATTAACCAAGAAATCACACATCAGATGACAATTTCCACTGGAAAACTTGCACTAAGTAGACAACTTAGTTTTAAAAAACATCAACTCACAAATTAACGAGTTTGCTGAGTTTCCCAAGTGACTGGGGAATAGATCCACTGAGTGAATTGCTGGAAATATCCCTGTGGAATTAAGGGATAGAATGAATATGTGTTTAAGTTTCAAATATCAAACTAAGAATCAATCTTGACACCATAAGCAATACTCATAATCTCGCTCTCCCTCTCTAGTAACTTGATTCAGCATTTGTAGCAACAATTCTAATACTTGGCTTTTTACTGGGCACTGATAGTACCACACTGATTTTTACGGCTGAGCATCCCACTTTTAATGGTTCATCATACAACATGGCAGCCCAATACTGTGCTGTCCAAGGCAGACATGGTCTCCCCTGTCTAACGCTCACATTGCCTAGGTCACTTGAACACTAATCTGAAGCTCAACACCTCTTATCTGTCCTATCAAACAACCAAGCCTATGTATATGTATGCAGACGCTTCAAAGATTTTCAAAATATCCAGACTACATAACCCTTATTTTCCCCCTTTTGTTCCTCCTCCATCCAGACTACTTAACACAGAAATTGCACGAGAAAATCTAAAAGACAGAAATAAAGGAAATACTCATTTCCAGCATGATTGCATGAAGAAGTTCATAGCAGAATAGCAGCTAACTACATTCAAAACCGTAAGTAATGAATTTTTATAATTATAAAAACCGCCCACAGAATAAGTTACATTGGACGCTAGAGACATCACAGAGTTAAAAACTCACAGGTATTGAAGCTCCGATAGGTTTCCCAGCTCACTTGGAATAACTCCACTCAAGTAGTTAGCTTGCAAGTATCTACATACAACACAGTACCAATTTACTTACAGTAGAGAAACATATATAATTTTGATATGCACAAAGATGCAAATTGTGTCACAAAAAAGAGTAGCAACACACAAAAAGAAAAGGAATCCACAAATTCTGAAACTGGATTTGGGGTTTAAATTCAAGGGAGAGGCCTGTTCAGAAAGGCTATAGTTTCCACCAGCAGCTCGAAGCCCGGTAAGTGTTTGCACCAGAACAGAGCTATATGGACGGATTCACCATAGCCATTGGCACATCAAAGATTCTCAAACCTAATTTTAGACTTTTAGTTTCTGAATGATCTGCAGCTAGTGCTATACTAAGCTACAGGTAAACTCTCGGATAAACAACTTATTAGATAAAAATAATATTCACCGGCTAGGTGACCCAGCAACCTTCAATATATTCCATATTTAGCAACAAAAAAAGCCATCAAGACAACAGAAGTGAATGTAAGTAGAGCTACTTACAATCCCTGTAACTCTGTGCAATTTCCCAATTCAGAAGGAATATTTCCATAGAAGTTATTGTTATATAGAGCCCTATAGAAGGAAATTAAATCACAACCATGTCACAAAAGAAATAAGAGCAAAAATTAAGCTACAAGTGATAAAGAAGTAAATCAGCAAACTGCATACAGAATCCTCAAGCGGTCTAGCTTCCCAAGGTCAGCTGATATAGGTCCACTCAACCTGCGGTCCTTCAGACTCCTGCATCAGTGATTTACTAGAGTCAAATAGATGTCCGACAAACTCACATGGACAAAGTGAGCATTTACGTTCTGCAATTTAGACTGTATAAAGAACATATGAGGATTTGAGCATATAAAATACAAAATATTTGCAATTTTTATAGAAATCTACGTCCGGAAATGAACAATGGATGGGAACCTTGAAGAAGCCCATCCAGACAGCAAAACTCACCCATGCCCTCACACTCAAAACTCTCTGTCCTTGGTAGTAGAAGTGACAATAAATAACGATAAACCAACAGCGCCATCCAGTAGATATGACACAAATATGGATAGCATTAAGAATGACTGACAAATATGCATCAACACGCAATCACTAAGCACATGGAGCTCTTCTCAGGCAAAAAAATTAGTCCAAACCAATCAATAAACAAGTTTTAAGATTTGTGAACTCACAAATATACCACTTTCTTGGTTATCCGGTCACAAGTTACACCTCTCCAACCACATGGGTCGGGATCCTCTGGCCTCCAAAAAGAAAGTACAGTGTCTGAACCAACAATGGAGTTTTTGAAACTTAGAAGTGCCTCACCTGAGCAAATCATAAACCTGACATCAGTTCCTACATTAAAAGCACTGACACAGCACATATAAGAGAGCATGTAATGATAAACAAGCCTCTGTTTGCATTCTTCTATACAAATACTTTATAGGAACGAGCACGTAGAGGAAGAAATGTCTGGCTAGAGAGCGATGAATCTACTCTAGAAAGTTCAAAAGAGATGAAACAGTGAATAAGTTTCAGAAGCAGTCTCGAAACTGCTCACAAGCATTACATTTCCAATGTGAAGCAAGTTAAATGGTTACCTACAACTAAGTTAGACATCTACTGAACACAAAGTTTTGGAAAAATGAGAACACTGAGCACAAAATAGCAAAGATTTGCATCAAAATATGCAGGTGGAATGTTTGTTCAGAAACTTCACTGCACTGGCCTAAAACTGCATTAACTAAAATAATGGTAAATGAACCAGCCAATATAACATTACCATCAGGACTGATAGCTCCGCCCATCTTTAAAAGCATCCAAAGCACAAGGGTACAAACAAGCAAATGCCTCAGATGCATCATTTGACAGTTGGCCATAGCGGCACTTGTCAAGCATAATATACCCTGCCGAAATCATCTGACGGACCAAGCTTCAGAATGCTTTCTCGGAGACATCTGTTATGAGTCCAAGGACGACATATTTCAGCTGTCTAGGTTAAGAAAAGTGTTTCCTGTGGGAGAGGGAGATAAAGAGATATCAAACACGAGAGGTAGCATTATTGTGTAAACATTAAACACCTGTCTTGCAGATGATATATCAAGGTCTGTTCAACTAATTTAAGAAACTACAAACTAGCTGCTCATTATTATGGCTCACTGAATCATTCTATGTATAAGATCACAGTCAGCACTACAACTCTCCTCTCATGTTATAACACATGTTCCAGACATTCAAAGAAACATGAAGCAGAAACTGTGACGCATTTGAGCTTTACCAGATCAATGTTATGGTAGATGAAGCAACACCAATCAATAAAGACTAATTTTCTCTTGCACCGTGACTCAGAAGGGATCCTTCCGCAGCAACCTGAGAAAACGAATGAAACTAGATAAGAATTGTCTGGATTCAAGAACAAAAACAAAAACTGGAGATACAAGAGATGCTAAGATGCTAGGTTGAGTCGAGCAACGCCAAACCCACAAGAAAAGGGGTAAAATTTCAACGGTTAGATCATGTACACCCTTGTTATTCTGCTTACGAAGCTTAGCACAGACACTTAAAAAGCAGCATTCTTTATCAACGGTAATCAGTCCGTTGGGGACACCAATAATGACAATAGCAAAAGAGGAATAGCAATAGTAGCAGCAACAACTAAAAATTGCAAACTCCAAACCTAAGCACCCATCAGAAAGAGACAAATGGATGTAAACAAAGAGTAGCAGAAGTAGGTGCTAATTCCTTAAAGCTTCCAAAGGAAACCAAAAGTGGGGGTGCGGGGGGGTATGCAATGCTAGTTTAAACCAGTGGGAAGCCTCCATTGACCGAATGTGCAGCTAAAAAACTCATAACCAGCGCGTATCAAGTAGCTCCAAGCTGACAACCACTGAGAACTTCTCATACCCTTTATAAAAAGAAAAGGACACGAACTGATGATACTTTGACTAAAAATCCAACGCATTCAACAATAAAATGAACCCCCCAAGAGATAATCAAGCAAGGCTAATGATGTCTGTGTGCAGAAGACCTAATCCCAGCTCGAAGAAAAAACAGCCGAAACAATCACAAGTGACAGAGTAGTGCTAAAGTCGTCGGAATCAGGAAATGGTAAGCAGGGAACCGCCCAAAAGGCTAAAGACGAAAAGAAACAGAAAAGGGAGGGATTCCATTCCATGCAGCAAATTGGAATGTATTAAGAGAGAGAAGAAATTCACGGAAAGGGAAGAGCAATTGCAGGCACATTACAGAGAGAGAGGGGGAAAGCCGGAAAGGTGAAAGGGAGGAGAAGAAAGGAGGTTGCTTACCCTTTTACAGATTCGATCTGCGGAAGGAATGGAAGAAGAGATTAGGCAGGCGCAGCAGAGAAGAAGAGGAATGGAGTGGAGCAAGTGTGAGAATGAGAAGACGGAGAGAGAGAGAGAGAGGTGAGCTGTAAAACGATAGACCAAAAATCCAGAAATGAAAAAAAAAAATCCTTCCGAAATAGTTATGAAAATACTTATTTAGGATGGTGGTCAGGAAGAAAAAGGAGAGAAAAATCAAGAAAGTGATCACCCAAAAATCTTTATTTGTTTAATTATTGGGAATGTGCTGTTGGTGGTGGCCGGTGGGGATGGGAAGAGAGAGAGAGGGGTAGTGTAACTGTGTAAGCATAAGCAGCAACCACTAGTGGGAGTGAGCAACTCAAGTAGAAAGAGAGAGAGAGAGAGAGTGTTAATAGTGACGGAATGAATAGAGGAAGAAGATGCTCTCTCTCCCGTTTTGATCCCATATCCCGGCCCAAAAACGAATTAAAAGCCGGAGTCGGACCGGGCCGACGTCAGTTCACGTCGACTTATCTCATTTGCGGATCCAGACATTTCGTTCGTGTGAACTGTGAAGTGAACCAACCGACGTTCCTCTTTCCCTCTCTCCCTACCTCACCTCCTCATTTTTTTTCTTTTTTTATTCGCGTATGAAGACACGCAATATCGGCATCTTAATTTGTATTAGTGATCACACGGTTCATGATAATACTCACGATACGGTATGAAAATTATTGATTCAAGTTTGTGCACCGCATACGATTGAATGGATATGTGCCAAAAAGAAATGAGCAACCCTTATAAGTAAGAAAGTTGTCATCAAGATTGCATTCCGTGTAAATATGACCGATTTGATAGGTTACATATATGCTTAGCTAGCAATCCATGACGGTGGGTTTTGTCAATTTTCACAGAGTTGTAGACAATAGTCGAAGCCATGTTGACTTTGATATGTATGTGCCATGTTCGTCATGCCGAGTTCATGTTTAAAACAACGGTTTTGTCAGTTATGTTTTCGTGATAGATCACTTCCACGTGTAGCAAATGAAAAGCATCAAAAACATCTTCCACAGGTGGTCAATGAAAAAGCCACCCGCTGCTACACTGTCGATCGAGGCAATGTATGATCCATCCATCTGTATTGGATCCAACCTTCTTATGGGGGCACCCAAATTATTTTCTTATCATAATGTGTCATTGAAACCGTTGAAATGTTTTTCTTGAACCTCTATTAAACCTGCTTGTTGATCTGAATCCATACTTCTTGTAAATTGTTGCATCCTTGTAAAACTTCTTCCCATCCATAACTTCTTCGTTAGTCGTTTTTATGTTTTCGAAGGTTCTCCAAATGAGCCCAAAACCAACTCCACTTTCTTCAATCTTTGAGTTTCTATCAAACCAAAAGGATTTAGTTAGGGTGCTCTTAACCTTTAGTTTGTCTTGGAAGTATTTCAAGACACCCTATGTCTTCCTGCAATTCCTTACAATGTGTTTTGTGGTCTACTCCATTCGAATGTAGTGGTATAATTTGCATTGTTGTCAACTTTATTTTCTCTGTTTTCTTATTGGCGAGTAGCTCTGTTGTGAGTCACAAGTAACAGAAAAAGCTTGAAATGGCTTGGTCATTTCCACATATTCTATGGTTTGACCTCCAAGTTGTCAATTTCAAGCTCGTATGCAAATTTGATGTTGAATTTTGGGTATAACAGTCACAAACCTTTGCACTTAGTATAAAACGGTCACAAATCTTTAATTTGTAACGATATGGTAATTAAAGTTTGAAATTGTATGAAATAGTCACTTCTGTTTAATTTTTGACAGTGTTGTGATAACTGCAAAGGTTTGTTGCCGAGTCGTTACAAGTTAAAAGTTTGTACCCATTTTGAGGTTGGATCGTGTGTTCGTCAAGTATATGACACTAACCACTTGAACGATATGAGATGTTGGGTCGTGTGTTCATCAATATAATTGTTTTGCTGAATAAGAATGTTATATGTTTACCTTTCAATTCCAATACCTATGACGTTAAAAGATAGGTCAAGTTTTCCCAACTAAAAAGCAACATGTAACCCATTTGTGAGGCGTTGAAATCCCGAACTGCATTTTTTGTTACGATCATATCATTCATTTTAATTAACAAAGTCATCATACCTCGACTGGAGCGAATTGTAACAGTGATTGATCGTTCAAACCTTTGAACGTTGTAAAAACGGTCATCAAAAGCTTAATTTGTAACGATATGGTTAGAGCTGGAAAAATAGACCAGACCAATAGAAAAACCGTGGTCCAAACTGTACCGCACATTTTGGTCCGGATCATAGATTGTTAAGTATGGTTTGGTCTGGTCCATGGTCTGTATTATTTTATGTTTTGATCTCTTGGTCTGGTCTGGTCTAGACCGCAGTCTACCGGACCAAACCGTGGACCTAACCGACTTGTCAATACGTACGTGTTAACTGCCCATTCGACCGCTCTCCCAACTCTCACAATGACACCCAAGTCTCAACCTCAGTTCTGTGAATCTCGTCCCTCCTTCATTTACAACCACATTTAACTAGAGAGTAGAGATAATCATGTCTCCATATGACATTATGTTAATTTTTATGACGTTATGGTGCAACCGTGCAAGTTATGAGCATCGCTGTACAAGGGTAAAAGATGAACTTTTTTTCCTGTCAGTTACCCTACGACAATTACCTACATCATTTATGATTGCCTTTTGAGACCGTTGTCACCCAAAGTTTAGTACGACTAGATTCTGCAGGGTCCACATATTGGGACTAAAAGGTGACTGAATCATCAAGATTTGGCAACTGTGATTCTTGAGAGGCTCGTTAATAATGTTGAATTATGTACATGTACTGACTAAGTGACTATGCCTCTGAGTGCTGCTTCTTTCGTACCAAAAAGTTCGATGAATGGCAGGCAACATATCATATTTTGTAATCTACTGATCAATTTAGCTAGACCATTATCACTGCTCATCTGCATGCTACAAACAAGCCACTTATAATCAGAAGCCGTATCCTAGATCGGAGAGCGGTTCCAAGAGCTCACCAATGAGATTCGACTCCAGTTTGGGTTTACCTTGGATGAACTCGTTAGGCCCTTCGGCTTTACAGGTATTGTCCAGTATCGAGGAAATTGATCCAGGGACTACCTCTTGCATTTTGCAGACAGATCAAACTCAATCCACTGGTGACAATATAATAGATTTATTCAAACAGCAAAGAACGATACTTAGTGTTCAAATCACAATAGTAGTTGTTTACCGATATTAGCACTAGACCATTACTTAATACTTAGTTTTCTGGATTTGCTTATTAGCACCTTAATTTGACTACTATCTACAATATTTCCTAGTAAAACGAGTCTTCTAGACTTCTACTATAATTTGTTTTGAAATACCAATTGACTCATACCATAATGTTATCTTCATGTTACGATATAAGTTCAATCTGTGGCATACCAATTTCAATTTGTACTTTATTTATATCATAAAAAAAAATTTGCATTATATTGTACCATATAATAAATTTTAAACCAAATTAATCACTAATATTGTAAAGCATAGTGATCGATGAACATTCTAATAATTAACTACGCCATCATAATCTTTTCATTTACCCTCCCCTCTTTTTGAAGACTACCGGTAATTATTGATAACCTTCTTCTCACAATAATATCCACATTCAAAACGCCGATGACCTTTCCCCTTACCTCCGATCATACACACGCCACTTTCATAACCGAAACCCCATTGAATCCTCATAATCCCATCAGTCGCCCCATCATTACCATCCTTCCTTACGTTCATTTCATCAAATAACTCTCCTCCATCCTCTACACACACACATATATAAACTAGCCACCTCCATGCATGTTCTCATCACCTTGCTCAACAACTCACAGAAAACAAACACAAACAACAATGGCTTCCCACTTCACCTTCTTATTACTACTCCTACCATTCCTATCTTCCCTATCATCCGCCACCACAACCATAACCCTCGACCTCATCCACCGAGACTCCCCACTCTCCCCACTCTACAACCCAAACCACACCGCCTCCGACCGCCTCCACGCCGCCTTCCTCCGCTCCATCTCCCGCCGCAACCACCGCCTCTGCCGCCACACCCCTCGCACCACCACCAACTCCGACTCATCCCACTTCCACACCAACATCCTCCCCAGCGGCGGCGAGTACTTCATGAACCTCTCCATCGGCACCCCGCCCTTCACCGTCCTCGCCATCGCCGACACCGGCAGCGACCTCACCTGGGTCCAGTCCAAGCCCTGCTACCAATGCTACCACCAAAAGGGCCCAATCTTCGACCCGGCCCAATCCTCCACGTTCCACCGGATCCAGTGCGGGGCCCAACTCTGCAACTCCCTCGACGACGACTCCCGCTCCTGCTCCCAAGACGGCACCAACACCTGCGCCTACGCCTACTCCTACGGGGACCACTCCTACACCACGGGCTACCTCGCCACCGACACGTTCTCCCTGGGCCCCACTTCCATCAGCCACGTCGGCTTCGGCTGCGGGATGAGAAACGGCGGCACGTTCGACGAGTCCGGGTCCGGAATCGTCGGGCTGGGAGGCGGGCCCATCTCGTTCGTCAACCAGCTGGGGGCCCAAATAGGAGGGAAGTTCTCCTACTGCTTGGTCCCTCTCCAGGAACAGTCCGGCGCCGTTTCGGCAACGAGCCGGATCGTGTTCGGGGACGATCCGTTGCTGCTGTCGTCAAACGACGTCGGATTGGTGTCGACTCCCTTGGCGTCCAAGTCTCCCGCCACGTACTACTACCTGACGCTGGAAGCAATCACGGTGGGGAGGCGGAAGATGCGGTACGCGACGACGTCGTACGTGACTTCTGGTGGGTCCCGGTTTAATGATGGTGCTGACGTGGCGGGGAGGGAGAAGAAAGTGGAGGAAGGGAACATAATAATTGACTCCGGGACCACGCTGACTTTTTTGGACTCGGAGTTCTACAGCGGGCTGGAGGCGGCGCTGGTGGAGGAGATCCAGCTGGAGCGGGCAAGCGACCCGAAGAATCTGTTCAGCCTGTGCTTTAAGAGCGGCGGTGAGGGAAAGGAGGTTAGGCTTCCGGTTCTGAAGGTGCATTTCGGCGGCGGGGCTGACGTGGAGCTGAAGCCGGTGAATACGTTCGTCAAGGCGGAGGAGGGGCTGTTGTGTTTCACGATGGTGCCGACGAAGGATGTGGGGATATTTGGGAACCTGGCGCAGATGGATTTCGTAGTCGGGTATGATCTGGAAAAGAGGACGGTTTCCTTCCTGCCTGCGGATTGCTCCAAGCATTAGTTTTTTTTTTTAGGTTTTAGGGATATGGTAGGAAAAAAAATGCTTCTTGGGGGTTAAAGTTACGCAGTGAATAAATAAATGGTTTTGGGGTTTTTGATTTTTTGGTTTTCTGCTTCAGTAGGCGGTCCAGTCAATCAATCAATCATCAGTGGATATTTTGTTAAAGACTGATCAAATGCATTCTCATATTTGCGTCAATGAGAATCCACATGTGTTCTTTGTTAAACACTCTGCAATCTGCATATCTCCATGGTTATCACTTATCAGTAAGCAACTTCTGTTGCCAGTAAGTGCAAGCATATATGCTGACTGCTGTTGTAACAAATGAAAGATCAACTGGCTTCCAGTCAATTGGTTCCAACGATAGCAAATTCAACATACCCCAACAGAGGTAAAACAGAGTTTGGGTGTTAGAAACCAAACTAACCAATTCAGAAACCAGTTTTCACCTTTCGGAAGGACAGAGAGAAGTCAATGCATTCACCTTACTTAGCTCGCTTATATACAGCAAAAAATTGGCACAAGATGAAAACACATTGCATTTCACAACACATCCAGTTTTTAGTAAGCATTACAGCCAAAAGAAAGAACAGAAGGTAAGTACTTCTATATGTTTGTTCCAACCATATTCATATACTAATACTACTATGTAGTATAACGTATCCACCACTTCTTCCATGTATGAACTGATGCGATATGCAAGCCCAAATAGAAAGGAAAAACATGTAGTAAAACTATTTTGAAGTCACATTATCATCACTGAGACCATCATCATCTTCAGCCCCATGATAGCTCATCCTGGCTGATGCCTGTTTTGCCCACTTCACAATTTTCTCTGCCTCCTTGTTGATTCTCTCCTCTTCTTTCATGGCCTTCCTCAGTATCCTCTCCTGCTCTTTCGGTGAAAAGACCCCTAAATCAGACAACAACTCGTCTCCTCCATCGTTTCCCCAATCCAAATCCAAATCTAAATCCCAGTTCTCTTTACTCTTCTTCTTGGTGGGTTTCTTCGGAGAGCACCAAAAGCATCCTGGTCTCCGTGGAGGAGAAGGCGAATCCCTGGAGCAATTGGACGAACCCAAAGGAGAACCAATGAACGGTTTTGATTTCAACTTTGAGTTCGAATTGGAACTTTTCCTCGTCATCCTAACCCTCTTTTGTTCAGATTGTGAGTAAATAACTTCTTCAGTACACGAATTCGAGGAATCAGGAGAGGAAACAGACCCAAGTTTCGGTTGCTTCTTGGAATCCTTCAACGGAACTGGATTCTCCGAGAAACCCTCTTCATCCGCCGAGGAATTCAGGTGAGAAGAAACATTCCCCGCAGCGGCAGCAGCAATATCCGGCACTTCCCCATCGCTTGTGTTCGCTCTTCCATCGTCAGAAGGGATGTCAAATCCCTCATCAAACCCTCTTCCGCCACGACGATGAAGCTCGCTCTTTGAATTAGAGAGGGACTTGGGGACGACACCAGTAGCAGCAGAGGCGGCGGGTCTGGTTGAGGAAACAGGGAAAGATTTGAGCTTGCGGAAGCGGGTTTCCAAATCGGAGGGGAGAAGCGAATCGTTGAAGTCGGAGCAGTTGATTTTGGAGACTTGTTCGAGGACGCAGAGGTCTCGGGTCTGGGAGATGAGCTCCTCGACGGCGGAATCGTCGGTGTCGGAGAGGTTCCCGAAGCCGAAATCCGCCATCTCTATTTTTTTCAGAGAACAGATTCTCAAGGTAAGAGTGAGTGTTAGTGAGCGTGGGTTTTAGTGGGTTTTTTTGGGCGAGGTTTTCTAGGAAACCATGTGTGGTGCTGGGGCGGTGGGTGTGAAAGGGAAGACGATGATCATGGTTAGGGAAAGAGAGAGCGTTCCCCTGCTGCTGTGAGTGATTACAGTGGCTGGTTTAACGGCTAGCTCCTAGAAAGAAATCGTGCTTTTCTGAATTCTAATTGCTCCTTTTGGCTTTTTGCTGACTTCCTTCCAATTCCAAATGTTTGTTACCCCACTTTCACAATCTTAGATGGGTCCCGCTAGTTTTGATGGCAGTATTAGTTCTTACAATAATGGTAAGATCGCATTTACTAGGATCATAAGTTTCAAACTCCCAACTTAGAAACTTTAGTAAATAAAAGATAGTCAATAAAATAAGTGTACCAACGAAGGATTAAAATACCGTATCGGCGGTTCGATCTGAAAAACCTTCTACCGAAAGCAAAATTGGTAGGCGGTATTTAGCTATATAATATGGTTGAACCATGATTTTAGCATAAAATACTCTACCACTGACTTTTCCAGTACGACCTCCAATACCGTGTTTCAATTCTTGGTACCACCCAAAATTACTACTAAATACGTACATATTTAGGCACTCCATGGTTCCATACATATTTACAAAGGAAAAGTAGGAGGATCACGCAAGTAGTGCTGCCCCAACTTCTCCATGCCATCACCAAAACACCCATACATCCACGGTCCACCCACCCCACACTCAAATTAAGTACCATAATTTACAGTTTCACACCTTGACGCCCTTCCAATCAAACTCCAAAACAAACCCTTCCTACACCTTTTTGGCCGCGGCGGCCGGAGCTGATCTCCGGTAACCAGATCCCCGGCCACCATCCACCACCTTCCTACCTTTGGTATTTGGGGAGACCCCAAACCTGGAAGAAGACTTGGGAGACGGCGGCCACTGACCGCAGCTCACTGCCATGTCACTGTACTGCTGGATAGCTACGAGAGTGTCGACAACGGCTGGCATTTTGGGCCTGTCTTTGGGGTTCAAACTCACGCACTGGGTCGCCAGATGGGCCAGCTGCTTGGCTCCTTTCACTGAGTACTGCCCGGCAAATCTTGGGTCCACGATGTAGCGGAGCCGCCTGCTGCTCCCGCCGCTGAGGTACGGCTTGGCCCAGTCAATCAGGTTCTGCTCGGGCTTGGGCCTCGACTTGTCCATGGCCCGCCTCCCCGTGAGAAGCTCGAGCAAAACGACGCCGAAGCTGTAGACGTCGCTCTTGGTCGTCAAGTGGCCCGTCGAGACGTACTCCGGTGCGGCGTAGCCGTAGGTTCCCATGACTCGGGTAGTGACGTGGGATTTTGATCCTTCTGGGCCCATCTTCGCCAGCCCAAAATCTGATAGCTTGGCAGTAAAATCCTGCCGCCAAGCCCAAGTAACATAAGATAAATATAGTTGCTTTCCAGTACTATATGTTTCTTTCTTTAACAAACTAGTACCATGTGAATGATTAATTTTGTTTTTTGTTTTAATGTTTTGATTACTTTGCACTTGATGTATAGTATACTATGCAAATGTGTAATGTTATATGAGAATAGGTAGTAATGCATACGGAGTCAAGGAGGACGTTGGAGGTCTTGAAGTCACGATAGATGACCGGACTTTCAGCGCCGTGCAAGAAGGCCAAACCCTTAGCTGCACCTGTCGCTATCTTCAACCTTGTCCCCCATGGTAGCGTCACTGATAGTCCTGCAATTATACGATGTATATATAGGTATGTTTAAGAATGGAGCTGATTAGGACTTGACCTAATTCTATGAGTACCAAACAGGGAAATTAGTAGTACTTTTGAACAAATGATTCTCCAAGCTGCCTCGAGGCATGAACTCGTACACCAAGAGACGATCTTCCTCCTCGCAACAGTAACCAATCAACTTCACCAAGTTTTGGTGTCGAAGCTGCCCCAGAAAGATTACTTCCGCCTGCAATTGAAGCCATCAATTGCGCCACCGAAATGAGTCAAAATTACATACTAACTGCTAATCATTAGTTAATTAGTAAATCCAGTTGGTAAATGTCAGCTCTGAAAGTCTAATGGTTTGACATTACACAGAGAGAGAGAGCGAGGATTAATTAATATATTCATCTACTAAATTGGTAATTAACTTAAGGAAAGAATTAACCACTTAATTACGTACCAGCCACTCACGGTGACCTTGGAGGCCTTCAATGTCGAGGAGCTTAACGGCAACCGGCTGAGATTTAAGCCCCTGCCTCAAGTTCTCGTCCACGTAGCCCTTGTGCACCCTCCCGAACCCGCCTTCTCCGAGTAGGAAATGGGCCGAGAAGTTCTGGGTCACGGCCCGGAGCTCACCGAGCTGGAAGTCCAGAAGGTCCGGCCCAAACGACTGGGCCAGATCCTCCGCGATCCTGACCGAGGACGACCTGCTCAGGTCCGAGAAGGACAGCTTCCGGAAGGACGGCAGCGGGGCCACGTTCTTGGAGAACTCCGACCGCGAGGGCCGGCATCGGCTGAAGTTGCCGCAGAAGAGGGTCTGGCCTTCGTCCACCGCGCAGCACGATTTCGCCGTGAGAGGGCGCCACATGGGCTTGGAGTTGGAGTCCTTCTCCTTCATTGCTTCGGTTTCTAGCTATGGATTTGGCCGGGGAGGAGAGGATGGATTGAGTGATAGATAATATTAGGAGTTTGTGGGGGGATGGATGGAAGTGAATGGTGGGTTGGATTTGGTAATAATGCTTGCTGTCTATTATAATATTAATATATGTCGATGGGGAAGGGGGAAGCTCTATCCATATGCATCAATTTTTTTTTTGCCATTTCTTAAGTGTATGGGAGAGTAGGTATGGTTGTTTTTCCTTTTGTTTTCTCTATAAAATATATTAATGTTTGGATTTGTTACAAAATTGTTTTTGTTGTTTAAGCAAATATCATGTTTTATGCAAAATGAAATGTACTACGATATCTTTAAAGTTATTTCATTCAATGAATGGAAGAATTTATACTAACGGTTTATAGCTCGATCATCTATTGAAAACTATTAATGCGTAATTACTGCATTATTGGGTGGGGAAGAATTATAAATATTGGGAGGTCGATCAGTGGTATTTTATCTTCTGTAGTTTCATTGAGTATTCCAGCACTTCTGAATATTCAACAAATTCACAAGAGCTGACAATTTGGATTTACAGAATGATATATTATAAGAATTGAATTCAAGAACATATCTTATAACTTTTTTTATATCATTTTACTAGATTTTTACGAGTTTCTGACTATAATAAAAAAAAAACTCAGTGGCACATAAAATTTTACAAAATTCGAGCATTATTTCTGTGCATAATTTAGTTCATTCTCGTTATAAATAAACGAAAAGGAGAAACTGCATCAAATTTGAATGTTAGCTATTACTTATGTGAGTCCAGTCTGTCAATGACCTTAATTACCATCTAATTGGCAATGTAGATTTTTCTGCTACTCTATTATTTTCTTAATCATTAGAGCTATAGCACCAAATAAAAAATATATATAGAGAGAGGATATTGATCGCTTGCTAAAACATGAGAAAAAATATGACAAATAATTAAACAAGTGTGTGCATGAATAAAGAACTAGAATTCACAAGAGTTGCATTCTTTTCTGCAACTGCTCCAACAACTCTACTAAAAGGGAGAATAATAATTAATTAATTATTATTCTGTAAATGGCGTAACGTATTCAATTCAATCCTCTTCCTCTAATAAAAGCTTTGGTAGCTAGCTAGGGGTCTTCTTCTGTAATCTGTATGCATATGGAATTGTCATGTCATGTAAGGTGGTGTCTTGATGCGGAAATTAAAGTGCAGGTTGTTTGACCACCACCATCGCATTCCCATCAACAAACAAAGACATATCTTTTCAAGCAAAAACAAAATCAATAGACACATTTAGAGGAGGCTATAGCTTTTGCTGCAATTGGGCAGGAAGCTGTGCCTCACATCTCTTAAGCTATGCATCCATATCAAAATTGTCACATTACACATTTGGATAAGATTATAATGCAGTATATATGAATTTGTACGTTTCATATCACAGACCCGTAAATTTATATAATTTTTTTGTTACGTCAATAATTAAATGCATAAATATAACATGAAAGTTTCAATTAATTTTTAGCAAGGTTCTAAAAGGCGCTTTGCGTAAGGCAGGCGCTCGGCTCCTGACTTGTGCCTTGCCTAATTAGGCGTAGCCTAGGCGCGCCTAGGCGTTCAAAGTATAAATGGAAAAAGTTCTCAAATATTTCCTGTTTTCGGGAATAATTCATATAATCCAAGTGCATATAAATTAGCAATGCCTAGTTCTTAACAGTAAACACTTAACATAACAAATAACAAGCAAATAGTGACCACTTCCTAGAATCACAAGTTCATAAAATGTCGAAATACTAAACATAGTCAATAAGTTCATAGGAAAATGTTCATTCTTCATCATCCAAGTAGGTCCGTCCAGCCACCACTTCATCTTCATCATCCTCAAAAGCAATCTCCTCACCATCCTCCTCCTCTTCGGACTCTAATTCTTCATCATGGAGCTCTCTCACTCGTGCACTCCTACGAAGCTCACTCTGTTCACCCGCCATTGCAACTGTAACAGTACTCGAGGGTGCACAATATGATTCCTCATCCTCATCTACGAATACATACATAGCATGGTCATCCCCTTCCCGTGTTTATGATTTTCTAGGGCAAGAGACAATTTTTTTATTTTCTAAGGCAAGAGACAATTTTCTGATTTTCTAGGACAAAACGAATAGTATTGGGTTTAACCACCTAAGCTCGCCCAGGAACGCTCAGGCACGCCTTCTCTCCACTAGGCGCAAATTAAGCGCTATTCCTACCTACTAAGTGCTACCAGCGCCTTTTACTACGCCTATGGCCAAGTCAAGGCGATCCTCTACCGCCTAGCGCCTAATTGAGCCTAGGCGTGCGCCTAGGCGCGCCTTCTTGAACCCTGATTTTTAGTAGAAGATTGAAATCCAATTATGAGATTTTAGTTAAGATGAATCAATATATATGCATGTTTTCGACAGAAGACGATCTTGAAGGGCAAACCCTTTTCTGCATCTTACTAGCTAGTAGGGGTGGAAATCGGTACGGTATTGGTATCCCAATACCAAATACCGAAATCCCGAATACCGAATTACACCCTAAAATCAATCCCAATCCCAATCCCTAAATAATTTCGGTATCCCAATCCCTAAATAATTTCGGTATCCCAATCGGTATCTCGGTATCCCAATCGGTATTAACGAATACATAATTAATTACCTTTACAATTAATAATTAAATATATAAATTAGATTTTATTGTTTAATTTATGGCAAAGAGACTAAACAAATAGTCTTGAGTTGCCTAGAGCTAACATCTCAAATTCTTGTAATTGGTAATCTTTAATTTGACGAATTTGAGGTTGAGAGACGACTAATACTAGTGTGAAATAGTGATGTAATGATCTATGTATAATTAAATGACGAATTTGGTGGTTGATGGTCGCGTAGTAGTGAATGAGAGAGTCTAGTTGAGAGGATTAAATACACACTAGCTTATATTTCGGTATTGATCGGTATTTCGGTATATACCGATCCCAATCCCGTAATCCCTAATACCAAATAACAATTGAAATTCAATCTCAATCCCACAAAATAATACGTGTATTCGGTAATACCAAATATAGACAAATTCGGTGCGGTATTTGGTATATCCCAAATACCGGTACCAAACTTCCAGCCCTACTGGCTAGTATTATGTGCAAATATATATTAACTACTATAGGCATCATCATGAGCTCACATAGATAGGATAGGAGAAAGGAAGGAATATGTGTGTTCTTCACCGTGAATGGTCACTCACACGAACTGCAACTCCCTACCTAATCCAAAGTACAGCCCAAATAGCAAAGCCAAAGTACGATTAAGTGCGAGCTATATAGCTGCTACCTGCTGACTGTTGCGATGATGAAATCACAGATATGTAGAACTTTCTGTTTTCTAATCATTCACCCCAATGTATGTTTTTTCTGGAGCAGTTGCGGATAAATTTGGGCGGCATGAAGGGATATGATGTCTACATTTTTGTGCTTATATACTGTTTCTCTACTCCACTTTGTCAACCAAATATCATTATCTTCTGTTATTCTAATTACTTAATTTCTTGGTCTAATAAGCAAAGAAATTAGGATGTTCTCACTTTGGATACTCAATCAAGTGACATATTATTACAGGGTTTTAATATAATTTTAGGGAACTCCCTATAATTTTAATGTTAGATATGATAATAATTGAGGAATCATTTTCTACTTCTACATTTAGAAACCAGAATACAAAACAAAGAACCGTTAAAATAGTAAATAAAATCATAATTACAACCTGACACAAAACCATTTTCTTTTTCTTAGTTCTTACACTGATTTGCAACTCCTAAGCCAAACACATTTAAGCTACAAAGAAAGAGAAGATTGAGATTAAATTTCTTTTTGAAAGAACTAAATTCTATTATCAAAAGTAGCAATCATTCATACGTAAAATTAAGCCCTTGTACAGAGTGGCATAAATTCAATCTAGCATTCTGATCAACCAAAGGAATTTACTCTAACTTACTAGGAAATAATTAATCCAATAGAGGCATAATACAAGTTTGGAAGTAAGAATTTTCCATACATTCAGAAATGCAACAACATAACCAAGTAAAAGTCCTTTTCCTTAATTACCTCTTGATAGGGATGGCAATGGGACGGGTTTGGGGCGGGTTTGCCTAAATCATCCCCATCCCCATCTTCAAATACCCAAACCCATACCCGCCCCATATCCATGCGGGAAATGTTTTGCAAACCCATCCCCATACCCGTGGGTTTCGGGTACCCATGGGTAATACCCATCCCCGTACATCCAACATTATTATACCTAAAACTTACAAGAAAAGTTTTAATTATAACCATAAATATACCTATTATATCATGAAGTCAACAAAAACACGGTCATTTTCTAAATACGATTCAAAGAATCTGATCCTAAAACATCCATTAATACATAATATAGACTACAATATTTTTTAAATTATTATGCTCTAACTCTTGATACATTTACTAAGTAATAATTAACTAACATAATCTTGTTGACAAGGGGGAAAGTGAAAGAGTAGAAGGAGAATTGAGGGAAATGAATTAGGTTTTGATTAAGGTGGTTAGTCAATTGCATTTCTACTATTTATTTTCTCGAGTTATCATCATCATCATTGATAGATTACAATTTAATCCACATATCTTTTGATATGTGAAGAAATTCTCTTGGTGGGGCGGGTATGGGTATGGGTATGGGCGGGGGAGGCTAAAACCATACCCGCCCCATACCCATCAAACTTTTTGCGGGTTTTACCCATACCCGGTCAAAGCGGGGATTCCCCGCGTTGACTGGGTCGGGGCGGTCGAGTACCCGCGACCATGGGTTTGATTGCCATCCCTACCTCTTGAGCAAAGGTCAATGAATGTATACTCACACTTCATTGATTGCTCCGAGCCAGGCTGACCACCTGCACAACGCTATGGTCTTATGCCAGTGTGCCGGTTTAGCAAGTGGAAGGGTTCGACCGGTGGTACATACCGGTTTGTGCCGGTTCATGCCGGTTAATATTACAAATAATTTACAAATACTCATATTTAAACACGACATTTAACGTCAATACCTAAATATTTGTACTTGGATTCAACAAATAACATCAACATTTAACTTTTTAACACATAAAATATATAATAAATTATTTTTTATCAATTAAATTCACTAAGATAAGGTCATATTATTTGGAGATTCCTATATCGATCATGCCGGTCATACCAGTGGTGTCATGCCGATTTTATGACCGGTATAGGTTGAACCAGGTTCAACCAGTGGCACACCGGCCGGCGTGACAACCATGAGTTAAATATTTAGACAGGGACACCCTTCGGCCTTTAGCGATTAGCGCTTCTTTTCTCACGGAAAAAAAAAAAAAAAAACAGGCCAGACTCGTCATTGGGCCAAGCTCGTCAATTTATCATTTCTGTCATCAAGATTACTTTAAATAACATTACGTTCTTAATAATAATCAAGATTAGTAACAGATCATGTCACTTCTCTTTTGCTAATTGCTACACAACAGTTACCATGACAATCTGCAATCTAGGAACCAACGGTTCATCTGCAGAAAAGTGAGTCCAATCCCTAAGTGATCAACACTCAACAGTCTATGAGGGGAAACGGATTACAGGGAAGCTAATATGCACAATACCATCTCCTCTACTGGGCGGCATCATCAGGAAACCTGGCATCAAAAGGTGGTGGAGGAGTGTGAGGATGATGCCCAGCAGATGCAGCTCCAGAACCATGTTGCAGTTCGATGACTAGCCACCTTACAGCCTTGCTCATCTGCTCCAACCGAACTGCACTTATTGGAGGTAGACCAGCTGGCCCACTCTGCCCAGGCTTCCCGCTAACAGTTCCGCTCCCTGTTCCTGTAGCTTCGTCCACCAAGCACTCACTCCCTATCCTTTGCCTCACCGACTCCACAAGCTCCTCCGCTTGATCACAAGCCACCCTAAACAGTTCCCATTTCTGCTTGAAGTTCTCCAATGAGTTGTCGGTAGCTATTGTTTTCTGAGCACTGGCTAACTCTTTGATCTCGAGCACACTCGCTGCCGCAGCCACAAACTCCTGATACGCATTGTTCAGGTTATCCACTATATCATCCATTACAAGAACCATCAACTGCAAGAATAGGAAAACAAGAATGTATGGTGTTTAATAGTTAGATAGGCGATTTGTGATTATGAGGGGGAAAAAGGTTCCAACAATCATTCAAGTATGACAACAAATTCGTGACAACCAAACTGACAAGCAATCGCATTTTGTTATTCAACCCTGACAATCTGCATGCACACTCAAGAGGTATCAGGGAGGAGCTACATCAGGATTTAACTGCTCCGGATCCTTAGTTATGGCAAATATGCAGGACTTAAATTAGATGAAGGGAAAGACAAAGGATGATAATTCCTCTATACAATTCCATATCTGAACAACGTCCAGAATTTTACCTTCATTGAATCGTCATCAAACATATGGAAGAAAACGCCCTCAGGCCCTTTGCCAATTCATCGAACTAGTCTTACGCATCGAAGGCTTTACACAAAACTATGGGTTCAGACCCCCTAACATTTTAGCCCTATAACCTATAACCTTAATCATCAGCATTCATTACAATCGCCTCAAACATTCAAAGGAAAACAAAAATCAATAGTACAAAAGGCCATTGCCAAGTGACCGTAATAATCTTTACTTATCACCAGCCAATATTCTTATTCATCCAATAATAGACACAGTCATCAAATGGGAGCAGTTAAGCAAAAATGAAAGACTGAAACAACAAGTTGGGATCACCATCTTCTCAGTGTCATCATAAATTCAAGCTAAAAAATAAAGGCGAGAAAACAGTTTGCTCAAAAATTAACATTTTGAAACTGAAGATCCTCATATTCATATCACAAGGTTTCCCCCCAATGTACGGCCTACAAGATCAGTAGAGAATTTCATGGACAAAGAAATCTCAACCTTCAACTAAAGCTACGACATAGTGAGAATCTTTATGCCTAATCGAGGGATCATAAGCTCAACCGTTAACAACGGATAGGAAGCTTCAATCACATCATCTAAGGAAAACAAGTCATGGAGATTTGCACCTGTCATATCATATTGAACATTTCCCTCCTCACCTCATGGATAGCCAGCCACAATGATAATGAATTATAAAGCATATCATTGGCGAACCGAAAAGGTCACACTTGTCCTTTCTCATAAGGACTTCAACAGTTTAAGTACGGTTGCAAATAGCTAACCTGAACTGAGGTACAAATACTGCATTCAGAGGAATGAGTCTTGGAAACTAATATCTAGTGTCAATAATCCAGTTCTCATATCTAGCCTAGTAAACCCCATATAGGCGATCAATTGAAAAACAGCTCACCTGAACTGAGGAACAAACACCCCATTCAGAGTAATGGGTCTTGGAAACTAATATATAGTGCCAATAACCCAGTTCTCCGCAGAGCAAGACAGAAAAAAATCCACAATTATTGAAAATCATTACCATCATCACACCCAGCTTCCTTCAAACCCAAAGGCAATAATAAGAACCCCTAAGTCATAATTTTGATTTAGTTGTGAGTTTATCAAACAAGGCAGCAACAAACAATCAACACATTCAGGCCGTGATAATATTTCAGCATCAATTAGGCCTAGTTTACCTGGAAGGAAGACCGCCAGAAGTGGAAATAGACGCGCAAGGGAATATAATTTGCTTTCTCTAGGTGTTCTTCTTCCGAAAAATCCTCTTTCTCTTCTCGGGCCTACAGCAGGCTCACAGTTAAAATACTGATCGGCAGGGAGCCTCTTCGATCCCGACCTCTCTCTCCCTCCAAGACCCACTAAGCACCTCTTCCGTGCTTTCCCTCTTTTAATTTCAGGTGGTCAATGACGAGAGTCAGAATCGTGGCGGACTGGCGGTGAGCACAGACCCAAAAGTATCAGGCGGCGGACGGTCCTGCAGCAGGAGTGGGCGGCGGTAATGGACGGTGGCCAGGGAAGACGGGAAGACGCAGGCGATGACTGATTGATCGAACGCGTGGAAAAGTGGACGGATGTGGCCACCGGCGGCGGAAGCGACGGCTGAATCTCCTCTCCTGCTTCGATCGAAGACGACAATCCCCCTTCTTTCCACTTTATGGAATCGGTCGTCTCCTTCTCTAGATTTTGTTTGGCCTTCACTCTTCAGCCGAAATTCAGGGTAAATTACACTTGGCATCACCTAATTTTTAATTTAGTGAGACATTGATCAACTAACTCTATAGTTTGTACATAGACTACTGATTCAATTTTCTGAATGCTACAGTAACTTTTTCGTGAAGATAAGTTAAACGAAAATCTTTGCGGATCCAATTTTTTTTATAGGGGTGCCCTCTTTAAAAATTAAATTAAAAATAAATAAATCATAAATCAGAAAATATTCCACTAGTACAAATTTAAACAGAAGGCTACGACGTGTTTTCATATTCCGAAAAAATATAAAATAGACTTTATACCTACACTGCTCAACAAATATGTATATACTACTATACAATAATTCACGAACCAATCGCATATTCGATTCCTAATCTTGTTAAAGTCGGAAAAAAAATTTCAACGGTACTTCCGTGTAACCATAAAATCAATTCAAATTAAGAGTAGCCCGTAATTAGTTTGATTGTTAGGTTTTGAAAATAGTAGAGGATAAGGAATATCGTTTTTACTATTACGTAGTGTTTAAAATATAACAACAAATGAGTTAGCAACCTAATGGAGAATATGTTTAATAATAATAGTGTCCTAGGTTTGAATAACACAAACTACCATTTTTAATCATCGCAAACTACTACCGAGGGTAGGATAATTATTTTTTCAAATTTGAGAAGTGTCCTAGATTATAAATTATGTTTCTTTTTATCCATACGAAATTACTACCGGGGATTGGGATAATCGTTTTTCCAAAAGTGTGATGATACATATTCTAATACGTTATGTGTACTACTTCTAATTGTACGTTTTATGGGTTTTATCTTCTGAATTAGTTTAAAACTTGAGAGATTATCGTTTATATTTATATGAAATTTTTTGAGCCTTTGTTGGTGTGTGTATGGTTGTAGCATATCATAGTGATCACACATATTAATGTGATCTTGTACGTCTTGCACTATCACGTCTAAAGTCAACATTCATTTTATTGTGCTCTTTTTAAAATGCATCAATTTGATTTTTAAGCGATGTTTTTGGGATTCTAAATGTTGATGTAATGATTACTCAAGTTGTTTATATGACCCGTATGTATTTAGAAGTCGAGAAAGTTCACATGTGTCTTCGGACATGATCACCTCACCTGTCATCCTCAAAAAATGGATTTGGTAGAAAGTCATCCTCAAAATGATTCGAAGAATGCAACCATGACTGATGGTCTACTCAAAGGTAATTAAGCTCAACCTAGGGCGGAACAACAACAGATGTCAAAACATCAACCAACAGGCGCAGCTTACGGAGAATATGCCTTCCTCCAATTGATTGGGCTGCTAATTAATAAGCAAATCACAAAGAGCTTGGGGATTTCCAGAGTGAGAGAGAAGATTTCCTCCCCTCGTTGAAAGTCGATGGTCGTAATTGTTGTCTTCAGATTTGCTCCTCCTCCTCCAAAAAGTGCTCCAGCTGCTTTAAATATGCAAACATTATACCCATGATGACACGTTGCCCAAACCTATAGTTTACACACTGTGTCAGCGACTCACAAGAAGAATCCTTATTGCTCAACGCCTAACTTTGAAAACTGCAGCATTATATTCCTGACCGAAGAAAAAACCACTAACCCACTTTGATAACTAACTTGCTTAAGTGCATGCCGACCCACCCCCTCCACTTTCCTTCTATTTTCAGCATCCACCCAAACAAACGACAAAACGAAGAAGAAGAAAAAAAACCCGTATATACTAATCATCGGTTTCACAGTTTCCCAACCTTCAAAACCAGCGACCAACCAGCTGGCTCATATCTAGCTTCATCATTATGGCATTCAGCACCACCGCCTACCCAACAAAGCATCATTTCCTCCATTCCAACCTCGCCACCATCCTTTTCTTCGTCGTCCTCTTCACCATCCCAGCCCTCTTCCTCCTCCGCCACCCCACCACCACCACTTCCTGCTCCAGCGCCGCCGACCACCACCCTCCTTGGTCCGGCGACCTCCGCGCAGCGGACTTCTCATGGAACCACCTCAACTTCACCCTCCCTCCTCCTCCCAACCTCAAGCTCAAGATCGCCGTCTTCTCCCGCAAATGGCCCGTCGCCACCGCTCCCGGCGGCATGGAGCGCCACGCTTTCACCCTCCACTCCGCCCTCGCCAAACGCGGCCACGAAGTCCACGTCTTCACCTCCCCGTCACGTGACCAACCCTTCCCATCTTCTTCTTCTTCTTCTTCTTCTCCCAACGTGGCACTGGCAGTCCACTCCCACGCCGGCGAAGCCTTCAAGTTTCGTTTCCCCAAAGCGTGGGACCTCTTCCAACACGAGAACCACCGCTCGCCATTCCACGTGGTCCACTCGGAGAGCGTGGCGCTCCCCCATTGGAAGGCCCGCAACGTCTCCAACCTCGTGGTGACCTGGCACGGGATCGCCTACGAGAGCCTGCAGTCCAGCATCTACCAGGCCCTGGCCCAAAGGCCCAACGATCCGGGCCCATCCGGCCTCAACCGCTCCCTCCACGGCCTAATCGACGAGATGCGTTTCTTCCATAGCTACGCGCACCACGTGGCGATCAGCGACAGCTGCGGGGAAATCCTGCGTGACGTGTACCAAATCCCCCGGAGGAGGGTCCACGTGATCGTGAACGGGGTGGACGAGGATTCGTTTGGGCCGGATGTACAAATGGGCCGAGAGTTCAGGTCCACAATCGGCGTCCCACCCAACGCCAGCCTGGTGCTGGGAGTGGCGGGGAGGCTGGTGAAGGACAAAGGTCATCCGATTCTCTACGATGCGTTCTCCGAATTCATGGCTTCGCATCGGGATGTCTACCTGATCGTGGCTGGGTCCGGGCCGTGGGAGCAGAGGTACAGGGAGCTGGGCCCGAGGGTTGTGGTTCTGGGCTCCATGGGCCCGTTGGAGCTACGGGCTTTCTACAACGCGATTGATGTGTTTGTGAACCCGACGCTGAGGCCGCAAGGGCTGGATCTGACGCTGATGGAGGCCATGATGAGCGGGAAGCCCGTGATGGCGTCGAGGTTTCCCAGTATAAAGGGGACTGTTGTTGTGGATGACGAGTTTGGGTTCATGTTCTCTCCCAACGTGGAGTCGCTGGTGGAGGCTTTGGAGGTGGTTGCCGGAGAAGGGGCGGAGAGGCTGGCCGAGAGAGGGGTGGCTTGTAGAAAGTACGCTGCTTCCATGTTCACTGCGACCAAGATGGCTTTGGCTTATGAGAGGCTGTTCCTTTGTGTCAAGAACCAAACTTTCTGTATCTACCCTTGATGATAATGTCATTTGAGTTATCACTATTCGATCAAGAGTAGGAATTGAATACCAGTCTGTTAATCAAATTCACATATGCCCCATTTTCAATTCCTACAGGAACAGAAACAGCTATATACACATATGCACATTTTTGGCACACTGCTAAATCTTTGTCGTCTAACAAACACAAAAAAAAAAAAGTTCTCCCCCTCCCCCCTCGAAGTTAAAAATCTTCTTCTCTAATCAACCTGCGCCGAAGCACGCTTCTTCTCAAATTGGTCGTACGCGTGCTTAGTCCTCAAGAAGAGCAGCATACTAGAACCCAACCCAATAATCGCCAGGCATCCCCACCACACGAATGTCAGGAAATAACAGTCCTGCCCCATGCACACAACGGAGTCCGAGCTTACCATGTTCCCAGACCTTGCATTGGCGTCGTAGACAACGGCGGCGAGGAAGCCGTAGATGAGCGAGCCAATGGGGATGTTTGTTATAAGAATGTTGTGATTCACGCTCACACTGTTGGGACCGAAGAGCTCCGAAGTTATGGAGACAGCCGCGGCGAATATGAAACCAGAGCTCAATCCCAGAAGCCCAGTGGCCATGTACAACCCCATCTTGTCACCTGATGCAGCCAGCAGGAAGAAAGCAAGTGGCGTGGGCAGAAGGGCGATTGTCAGCCACGCTGTCCTCGCAAAGTAGACCTTCCTGTACCAAAACGATCCATCGTAATATTAGAGGCACGCTTCAAAGATGAATTGGATTAGAACTGATGATGGGAGGATTCTAATTCCACTTACGTGCGTATGAAGTCTGGTGCAGCAGAAAGCAGGCGGCCGAAGAACGAGAAGGACGAGTACACCGTGACAAGAGATGTAGTCGAAGAGCCCTGCCCAAGGGACTGCGCAATTTGGCCAAGATTGTTGCTGTACACAAGTCCAATCGTTCCTCCACAGAAATAGGCAAGAAAGTAGAGCCAGAAATCCAACCTTCTCACGAGCAGCCAAGCCGTGTGCTCTTCCCCCAGCATATCCAACTTATCTCTCCCAATTACCACACCTTCACAGAATTTTCCCTTTCGATCAATATCGATCTCATCATCATCATCGATGCTTTTCAGGACGAGGGTCGAATCGTTCCAGGTGAAATCCCCATCTCCATTATTGTTACTGGTGTCCCGGGAGAGAAGCTCCTTGTGAAGCTCAAGGTCATCGACTTCGACAAGCATGAAGGCGGAACCTTCAGGGATCTGGAAGCTGGAATTGATTGCATGGTGAAACCACTGCCTGGCGAAGACGATTCCAGGGATGCAGAGTGGAAGGACGAGGAGGAATATGGCTCCGGCGAAGCGTAGGTGAGCTACTGTTGTGTCATTTGTGTTTGAACCGAAGAGGAGAAGGTAAATGCCGTTGAGGATGGCTAAAGAGTAGAGGATGAGGAATACGACCGAGTCACGGCGGACACCGTCAGGAGGCAGGGGATCTAGAGTTGGCTGGCGGAGGATGGGGACTAATGCTACGATGGAGGTGATGAGGGGGAAGAGGGCGTTTAAGAGAAGATAGACCTCGTTTGATGATGAATATATGGAATTGGCAGCAAGTGTGTAGAGGGCTGCACTTACCCCGTTGAAGCTTACTGTGAGGGATAGAGCCAAGGCTCGGTTAGATGGGAAGTTTTGGATGCAGAGAACGAAGCATACCGTGTTGAACCAACATATGCTGCATCCTGCCAGCAGGCAGAGAATGAATACCTGCAGTCAATTAGCAGCAAGAATTAGGCTGATGGGATTATAGAAGGTTAAAACGGCATCCAAAAACTTACTTAATAAAAGATAAGCCAAAAGCCAAGACAGAGCTAGACTACATTCGAGGGTGGATGGGAGTCATAAGGCCCACATCATTAGTACACTTCGCAAACAAAACCATTCAATTAGAGGTGGATTCGTGGATTGGATTGGTGGATCCATGGATCAAATGGATTGGATCCAATGGATTGGTGGATTCATGGATTGGATCAAATGGATTGGTGGATTGATCCATGAATCCAAATGACATCAAAGGCTTGGACCAAAATATAAAATTTGAAAAGTTTTGGTACTAAAATGTCATAATGAAAAATTTTAGGTACCAAAATGTAATTTTCCAATGATATTTTTCGTATAAAAATATAAATTTTAGGTACCAAAATGTAAAATATAAAAAATATAGGTACCAAACCGTAATTTGCCATTTGGATCCATGGATTGATCCATGAATCCACCAATCCAATTGGATTTGGATCAAATGGATTGAATTTAAATGGATTGGATTAGGTGGATGGATTGGATTCATGGATTTGGATCCTAATTGCCACCTCTACATTCAATGCACCAACGACTACAATGAGGAAGCTTCTCGTGCCCAGAAAAAGAAAGCGAGGAAGCTTCCCGTCTCCTGACAGCTTCCAGTACGGTGCCGGTTAACGATTGGTTAGTGATGGACGAATCCAGATGGCACAAAAGAAGTGGTCATTTGATAACCAGAAAAGAAACAAAACAAAACAAAACAAAAAGAAAGCGAGTTCTCTGGAGTAGACACGCGTCGAGCAGATATTGGTGCAAAAGGATGGGCCTGGAAAAAGTTAGGCCCAGGAAATAAAGTGGGCCACCAAAAAGATAAGGAGTGAAAGAAAAGACTGCAGAAACCGATTAACCAAACAATCCTTTTCTTCGTACCGGCTACCACACGCATTTTGTTCTGTTTGGCAGCCGGAAAAATTAGAAAACAAGATTCAATTGAGCCCCCAGAAAAAGGCGAAAGAGGGGGGAAAAGCGAGCGAGAGAGGAACGGAGGGAGGAAAGCGTGCGTACCAGAATGTAAGGCAGAGAGATGACATTCCGAATCACAAGCCACTGCATCCCGTAGCCGAAAAGCCCCATGAACGCCGCCGAGAACAGGACCGTCCACAGCGGGAAGTACATCAGTGCCAGCCCGGACGACCAGCCGAAAACCTTCCCCAAATCGGACGCCACGGCGAGGTAATTCAATTGGACTTGAGATATCCCCAGCACCGATTTCAATTGCGACGAGTAGGCCGAGAAATCGAAATTCGTTCCCGTGAATGCCTGAATCCATATCGTGGCCACCAGTATCATCCACTTCCTCGATTGCCCGGCCATGAACAGCTCCGCGAGTAGCGTCAGGTGCTGATAGGGACCTACCGGCGGCGAGAGGTTGGTGGTGGTGGTCTCGTGGCGTCCCGCCGGTGGCCTCGGGGTAGAGCGACGGTGTTGGTCGAAGTCGTTGCGTGCTGCTGCTGCTGCTGCTGCGGCCGCGGTGGTGGTGGTTTTGGGAAGGAGGGGATTTGCATTTGCCTGCGTCTCTACGTGGCCTCATTATTTATATAGGCAGGGAATGACGAAATATTCTTTCATTTTTCTTCTTCTTTCTTTTTTGCGTCACGGTGGGCCCCATCAACATCCGATGATTGATGCGTGAGGCTTGAGGTCTGGGAATTTGGACGGGAACGAGACGTCGTGGAGGAGAAAGGCAAAAAGAAATTGGTCTTGGAATATATAAAATAAAAAAATAATAATGCCGGTACCGGTTTTGCTTAAGGGGTCGTTTGGTGGGCATGTATTGTACCCCCTGATTTGTATAATACATGGTTTCTCCAATTTCAGTGTTTTTTTTGCTTCATAAGTGGCTCAAAATCATGAGATTAGACCCAAATGCAATTGGAAAATACACAAGAATATGAATTGTACAATGCTTTGGGGTTTACCAATGCATTTCACAATTCAACCTAAATTTGTGGGCCCCTCCAATTTTATGGACTTTCTTGTCCTTATTAAAAACCTAAAATTCCAAATGCTGCCCCATTCTTGTTTTACCCAACAATGTTTTATTCCCCCATTTTATTTCTCTGATCTTCTTTCCCTTTCATGCTTTTCTCAAAACGCATCTTCTTTCCCTTATGTATGTGATGTATGATAAGTCATGCTATGTTTGATGCTTGTGGATTTTGTAACCGCTGCTCAAAATGTTTATGTTGTAACATGCTCTGTATTTTAATCAGGGTGTGTAATGGCAGTTTGGATGGTGTAACAATGAAGTTTCTTGTTTCTTGTTTCTTGTTTTGTTACAATAGCTAGATTTGTATGTGAATCTCCAACCAATCACCCAGCAGGCAACACTGCGCTTGGGAAAAGCAAGATAAAAGGGCAACTTTGTAATTCTCTTATCTTCCCAGTACTTAAAAAAATAATCCCACAAATTTATTCGTCCACAATTCATGCAAACCAAACACAGCAATCTAACAATACATGAATTCTCACTATCCTACCTAGAAAATACATGTAATCATGAAACTCATGTATTATTCAATACATGTAATCTAATAATTGATTTGTAGCTGGCGGGATCTGTCTTGGTGTCCCCGCTTGTCTCTCGTTAAGTTTTCCAGAAATATCGCACAACTCGCAGGGCTGTATTCGTCATTTTCAGTAGTTAGTTAGTTACCTCGCAGGGCTAAGTTCGTAGATACAAACTAGTTAGTTATCTCACTCGCAGGGCTGAGACCTAAAAAGGAAGTAGGTATTAACTATTAAGGCCCAAGCCCTACCAGACCGGGATGGTTGCGATAAGGATGACGGTAATTTGGATGGGTTTTATGAGGTCCAGGTCCAGGCTTCATTTATTATGGTTTTCTTCCGTCGTTGCTAGTTTGCTTGATCGTCGAAATTCAGATGGATGGCAACAGCCAACATGGTTGCAAATACGTCACTAACTGTTTTCACGTGGCAACATGGTCTGACCTATAACACAGGACCTCAAAATATTTGGGCCTCAACTTGACCATATGTATATACAACTGCCTCTTTTTTCGAATGGAGCCATGGAGTTGGACTGTTGGAGAAGCAATGGGCTGGCCGAAATTGGAATGGGCTGCCTATTTCCCAATTTTTTTTGGGCCGAAATTGGAGAGCAAGTTGCTGCCCTTATTTGTTTTGAAATTGAAATTGGAATGGCTGGCGGAAATTCTAACCAATTTTTTGTTTTTTTTGGCAGAGAAATTGAAATTGGAATTGGAATAGGCTGCCTATTTTCCATGGCTAGTTTGTTCAGTAGGGGAAACAAATGGCAACGATTTTTTTATTTTATTTTGTATGACGACAGTTTGTGTACACTGAGTACGAAAATTCTTAGATATCTCGTTTAGATAAATTGTAAAATCGATAAGAAACAAATAAGAAATGGAAGTCATATTGTGATCATTACAAGTGTGAAGACAACCCAATTTTTTATATGTTCAAACCATACCAAAACCAATAAAAGGTTTATCGATTATGATTTTGGTTTTGGGAAACTTAACTATTTGTATATTTCGTATTTCCATTTTGTAATAGTGAACAATTTGGTTAAGCGAACCGAGTTCGACCAATAACAAAAATCCATGTCACGTATAGAAGGGTACCTTTAGCAAATAATGATGGCCGACTCCACCAGCTCATTAAATTCCCATTATATACATGATGATGATCGTCATGTAGCCCAATGGAATTCCAGCGGATCAGTACTAAGTAATATCGCCGGCATTAATTAGTGTAACCCTAAATTTTAATTTCATTGAAGCGATAAAACGAAACATTTCCTCTTATTCACATGAAAAACCATCACCGCTATTGAATGTCAGACAGAGTATCATTGTTAGGAAAAATTGAAACAGCAAATTGAACGTGTGCTTCAAATCATTCGTTCTACAATGATTCTTGGTTTCACTGCGGAATCGCTGTTAAAATTTGGGAAATTAGTTTCATGGGGTTTTTTTTAAGAAGTAGTATTTGAATGCATAAATTTAGAGTCGGTATTTTCAAATTAGGCAAATTGTGGAAAATGAATATAGTTCTATATATTCTCAAGGATAACAAAGTTTTAAGTACAAGATCTAAATGCATAATACGATTTAATATTAACATGCTCAAAGATCTCTTAAAAAGCTACTAAAAGTTGCCTAATATATTCTACAGACTTACAAAATCGCTACCAGAAAAGTTGCATAATCTTTGCAAAATGCAATATCTCTCCGTACTTGAAAATTGGAAAATGCAACCTAGTGATAATAACAACAATTCATACCACACAATTGTCTAATGTATGTAAGAAATAGCTAGGTCGTACTGGAAACTTGCAAATCCATACTAGTAGAAAATCAATATCATACAATATTTAATCCATAATATCACATATCATCTAACCAATGCAAGAAATTCGATTATCCACACTATTTAAAACCTATACCAAGTCCTAGTTTACCAATGCATACATAGAACAATGTCATATAAACCAGAGATTTCAAATATTATTTATGGTGAAAATTCCACACCACAAATTATCTAATGAATAGCAAAAACAAAAAAACAAAAAACTGTATCCGGGGACCGAATTGCAGTGGCGATGAAGGCCACCAAATACCAGAGATGACATCAAACGGACCTGGGCCAGGAGTGAATTTTGGTGACCATATCAAATCCTACGATCTCTCAATCAGTCCAGAGTTACTATAGCAAACATGCTTGCTTCCAAGTTTAGTATCTAATTTTACTATCCAGTGTTATTCAATATTTAATTTTTCTATTCAAATGTGGCATAGTACCCTACTGTATTGTGGATTCACTGTTGATTTGGACCCAAATCCAATCCATTATCGACTTTGCACAAAGTCATTGTTTTCTTGAAATTTGTTGGGGGATCAAATTTGTGGAGTCTATGAATTTTGAGGGTCCGAATTCGTGTATCCCATGAGCTTGCAAAATCCATGTGAAGAGGTGAGGCATGACCATAAATCCATGATCTAGTCAAACAATTTCATAACCAAATCCAATAAACAAACAATAGACGACTCTTTCAAATCCATACTGTCAGTGCTAATAAATTTATCACAAGTTCAGAATTTTCTATAAACACAATTTCACCACAAAATAACTTACTACTAATTTTTCTGTAAAACCTCCGAAACGATTTTACCATCAATCCTAAACTGCCGAAGGCTAATAGTGATAACCTCGGGCGAACGAAGGATATGATCTCTCCTCTTCCCCTAGAGAAAAAGGAATACAATCCTAAAAAAAAAGTTCCAGAGGAGGCCAAAAATTACATAAGTTGAAACAACATTCAGCCGAGGATTGTTGGTCGTAGAGAATAAACAAAAATGTCACGTTAAATTTTTCTCAAAAACCAGAGGCTATAATACCTCTCGTTGAATGAGCCTCCATTCCAATCTTAATCCAATCAAATCGCACATGACATATCATACAGAGCGCCGAGCCAAAAACACCACCTAGCTCATCACGCCCTAATATTCCTCCCCAAACCGCCGAATCAAAAACGTTTCGGCTCCATTGGATTCACCGTTTCCCTCCCTCGAAATCACCTCCGGCCGGCCCGATCCCCCTAAAGCTTAAACCCTCTCATCCCCCATAGTTCTTATCTCCTCCTCCTCCATCCATTTCCATTACCCATACTTTCCCCCGCTTTACCTAATCATCATCAGCTTTGCCACATTATTGGGCCGGGGGATCCGAATCCGAATATGCCGGGTTCAGCCACGATCCGAAGAACTTCCTCCACCGAGTCATTCACCACCACCGTCCCCGGCAGCCGCCACCTCCCTTCCTCCCACCGCTCCGTCCGCTCCACCGGCTCCCCCTCCGGCAAGTCCCCTTACTGGCAGGCCTGGAGCAACATCAACAAGCTCGGCACCTTCATCGTCCGCGGCGGCGGAGGAAGCGGCACCACTACAAAGTTGACGGACGCCAATCCGTTGAATGACGACCCGAACTATCCGGCCAAGTTGACGGAGGCCAGGCTGGCGGCGCACAACCGCCAGGTGGCAATCAACAACAACAACAAGTACAGCAGCCCTTACTACAAGGGACTCACCGACTCCTCGCTCGTCATCAGCAGGGAGCGCCAGCACAGCTTCTACTCTCCTCCCCCCGCCGCCCAGGAGGACGATGGCCGCCACGTGGCGGAGGATGTCGTGGTGGTGACGTCGGCGGCACAGCTCCCTACTTTCGTCTCCAGGATGAAGGAGTGGCGCCGCCGCCTCTCCTTCTCTTCCAAGATGGAGAATAATGTGGAAGAGGAGCTCCCTCCACCGGCCTTAGCCCCGCCGGAGATTGAGAGGGACGCTTGGACCTTTGTTGCGGTTGGCGCAGCGGAGGTGAAGCCCATGAGGGAGAGATTTGTGGTTCATGTTGTTGATGATGATGCAGCACTGCCGTCATCGTCGACGAGATTGCCCTTGGCGTCGCCGAGAGGATACGTCGCCGTTGTGGATAGTAGCGATGATGAGAGTGACGAGACTAGTAATGATGGTGATGAGAGTAGTGTTGTTGTTGGTGGTGGTGGGAATAAGGTGGCGGCGGCGGGGGTTGATGAAAGGGAATTGTTGTTCCGGTGGGCGAATAAATATCGGCCTAGGGCTTTGAAAGACTTCATCTGCAACCGTGACAAGGCTACTCACCTCCAGTCTATTGTATGCTTTAATTATAGTTAATCCGTTTGTTAATAATCATAATTATATTGCCATGCATGCATGTGTAAAGATTGTGTTTTGTTTGCAAGATGGGGGAGGTGAATTGCAATCACTTCATATTCCAAGGCCCAGCTGGGGTCGGGAAGCGAACCATGATCTGGGCTATGCTCCAAGAAGCTTTTGGGCCCGAAAGAGTCCAGGTAACCCTAACCCTAGCCCATCTATGTCAAAATAGAAGGCCACCTGAAATCAAGTCACATTTTTTAGGAATTTCATGAAGTTGACATACTTTTATAGAGTACTTACCGTACTTTTTTTTTAATATCATAATAATGATACTTTGTCACATATGAACTTGATTGCAGACTAATGAAGAACGAATGACATTTAATTTAAAGGTATGTAGGAAATGTACAAGTGCTAAGAATGTCGGTACTAATTCAAGCACTGTACTTAAATGCGTTGTATTTGTATACACACAGGGGGAATCGATTAAGAGCATAACAGTGAATGTGAAGGCGTCTAGCCAGCATGTGGAAGTGAACGTGTCGGACATGAAAGGCTATGAAAAACATATCATCGTGGAACTTATGAAGGAATCACATCAGAGAGCCGCCGACAGCACCACTGCTACTACTTCTCCTTCCAAACACGATAGCTGCCGAGGTACTATACGCGTAATTAAAAAAGTGGTTAAAATCGATACAGGGACGAACCTTTTCTCAAACATTTCGAGTTGTTGAGATTAATTTATTTATGACACATAATGTTAACAAACAAACCATTACTTCACGCTCCCTCAAACAAAAACATACTCGTGGGCTTTAATTTGCACAGTTTTAATATGTCATCTCTTGAGGCCGCCATAAAAATTCTAACACGAGACCTCTCCATCAGCTTCCATCAGATAACTTTTTTTTTTGGTTGGGATTATTGGTTGTTGCAGCGATCATATTACACGAGGCAGACAAGCTATCGGCCGACGGGGTTCTATACATAAAATGGATGTTGGAAAGGTACAAAGGGTTCAGCAAGTTTTTCTTCAGCTGCGGCGGCGATGTCTCCAAGCTTCAGCCAATCAGGAGGCTTTGCACCTTTGTTCAGCTTTTCCCACCATCCCACCAAGAGGTATACGCTCATAACTATAAATCCGAGGCCAGATGATCATATATAGTTTCGGTTTTGGGGATTAATTGGTCTTATTATATTCATTGGTCAGATTGTTGAAGTACTGGAGTTCATAGCGAAGGGTGAAGGGATAGAGTTGCCCCATAAATTGGCTGCTAGGATAGCCGGAAACTCGAGCAATAATCTCCGCCAAGCCATCCGCTCTTTCGAGGCATGCTGGCGCAAGAGGTCATTCCTATACGTAACACATATATCAATTTGGCTTTTACGGCGAACTAAAAAAACAGTATATACTATGCACTAATTTTGAAACTAGTTCAAGACTTTGAATTTTTAATTGATAAAATTAGCCTAATATTACGATATAACATAGGATCACTACTAACACATGCATTATCCCAAGCCCTAAACTGTAAATTAAAAACTCTAACCCTAAAAATTTTCTAAACCCTAAACCATTCAAATCAAAGTAAGTTTTGCATCCTTTTTGTATAAATTCATGTATCTTATTGTCCATCGTACTATAAGCGACTATTGAAATTGATTATGAAGCAGGTGCATTTATTTATTTTCCTTGTCCTTTCACCTTACTTATAGCTAGCAATGAACCGCATGCATGCTAACTTTCGTAGCTTAATGAATGTGGGTGTGGCAGTTACCCGTTCAGCGAGGACCAAGTGATATTAACAGGATGGGAGGACGATATTGCAAATATTGCTAAGAACATCATCCAGGAACAAAGCCCTAAACAGTAATTAATTACCATCTGCCTACCAAAATCCCCTGTTAATCCAAATTTGCATGCAGACAATTAAGACTACTAATCTGCCATATGTGACAATTCATTATATGCAGGTTGTACATCATTCGTGGGAAGCTTCAGAATCTGATAGAGCACGATGTATCTCCTGAATTCATCTTTATGGTACGTAACTGCCAATCCATAATCGAATACACACTCATGATCCAGTAATAGTAACTATTATGTATGTATGTTCTATATCTGTGTTTTACAGTCGCTGAAGGAGGAACTGAAAAGCCGACTGGACGAATCATTTACGAGCCAAGTCGATAATTTATACAAAGATTACAACGTACGTACATAACCAAAGTAAGCCATGGTGAAGATCGATGGTAGGTAATGTAAATTTGCTTATTGATCAATTGTTGGTTGATGATCTCAGAGGAATAACAGCAGCGGCAGCGGCGGCAAAATAGACTGTGCAAACCAATTCGGAGTTTCTTGGGGTCACCAGCTCGACGAAGTAGGCGGGAAGCAGCGGTGTGATCCTGCAAGGCTCAGAGTTCATCAATTCATGAGGATTGAAGGTACATTTAATTAATTGATTTTTACACACTAGTCAATCACCCAACTTACTGTGGCATTACCAGGATATATGTTGAACCGACCAAACTGTGTCGTTTTGATTACTTTTGGTGGGCAGAGTTCATAGCCAAATTCATGAGCTGCTACAAGTCAGCCATGACAAACGGCACCACGGTGTCGAAGGAGAGTAGCGCATAATCATCAATGCTGCGTTGATGATGATTGCACAGAGGATGATAAGATAATGTATGAAGAGGAAGAAACAAAAAACGGAAACATTATGTGAAGGAGGCTTCACAAGCGGCTGCACTACTATATAATATTTTCTCAGATTGCTAGATCTCTTTCTCCGACATATTTGTATACTAGCTTTTGATCCGGCCCGTTGGCCGGATTACTTTAAACTATCAACTCATGGAATGGGAGAGCATCTATTTTGTGGAAATTGTAGATTCAAAATGTTAATAAAATATTAATATATTATTTTTAAAAAAAATTATTAAATATATACTACCAAATTTTAGACATATATTTACATCCAGATCGAGAAGAAAATAACAAATTTTCATAGACCATACTAACAATTTGTTATCATTTTTATACTTAAAATTATATAAATTCAATAGGTTTTTTAAATTTTATTTATAAAAAATACTCATATTCTCTCCCCGCCTCAAACTCTAGGTTTTTACCAAATGACATCCTACTACTCTACTTCACGGTCTTACTATTTCTCATCATCTTCCCGTTATTTGATTTGGACTGCCTGATGAAATACTAAATTTCAACCAACTACTACTAATAGCAAAAGATATAACTAATACTAAACTCTTCAATCGTAAGAGTATATCGTAAACAGTAAACCTAAACCCAATATACTAAAACAGATTGACCTTGCAAACAATAAACCTCAAACCTAATTAATACTTAGCCTCAACCTCTTAATTTCAAACTTATACTAAATTTCAACCAACTACCACTAATACCCAAAGATATAACTAATACCAAGCTCTTCAACAGTATGATTACATCATAAACAATAAACCTAAACCCAATATACTTAAACAGATTGACCTTGCAAACAATAAACCTCAATTTAATTATAGCCCCCTATAATATTTTTTTTTAGGAAATTATAGTAGCTCCATATACTCACATAGCATAAGAAAACATAGGCTTTTCCTAACACCATAAACTCTAAACTCCAAAATAATCAACAAAATTGGAGTGATCAAATATAGTTAAGATAATGTTTAATTTTATTAATTCATATGTGAACTTATGAAGTTAAATATGTTTCTTTACATGATTCTACATCTAAAATTTTTATCATAAAAAATGTGAACACGCTAAAAGTGAAGTAAACAAAACAATGTCTAATATGTACACAATATTTGTCTCTCAACCACAATATCATTAACCATATGCATTCACTTTCAATATTTGAACTGAGCATTAAACTCTAATATCATGCACCAAATATCATGCATAGACTGATAGTAAGCACCTGAGTTTAAAATAAAACTAAAAAAAATTATAAAAAAATGCACCAAAGATTATTGATAAATTTGTAATATTAAACATTTGAGGGAGCCAAAAAGTAGGCGTTATTCCCACCGTCGCCCAGTCCGAAATTTTATACAGCTTCGCTTACCTGTTGGGCGTTGGCGGCTGTAATTTGTTTGAAGGCACTAACCAACGCCGTTGCTGACCGAACTTCTCTCTAGCTTGGCCGATCAGTTGATGCCCGACGGATGGAAAGTGGAAATCATCATCTGTTATTTGGTTGATGATTGCTCTGAGCCCACAATGGGCGGAGATACATGCGAGCCAAACAGTAATTGTGACATGTCATTTGGGCTTTATTAATGGGCCCAACAATGTGGATGCCGGCAAACGCACTGATGCATTTGGGCGGGAAGTGGGAAAATTAAGAGAATAAAATGACTATATTACCCCTGACGAAAATTAAGGGGAGAGCAGCATTTTTTGAATGGAGAAAATGTTGTAAAACTCCAGCATTAATTAATCTCTAGATAGATTTTTCTCTTTATTTTACGCAATTTGTATATTTTCCCAGTTCGATTAAGAAATTGGTGCATTTCGTGTTGAAGATAAGTTCAATAAGAGTGTATTTTTATTTTTGATAAGTAAGAACGCGGTCTACTGCAGTAAAATCGAATTTTTATCTCGTATGTGGTTCCGATTATCATATTAATTAATATGAGAGGTATAGAAAATACAAATTATATGCTTTTTCCAATGTTAGATAAATAATCATTTGGTCAATGAAATAATTTGTAAAAAAAGAAGAAGAAATTAAATGGGATCTGAAGTGGACTTACACCATCATCATCAATTCATATGAGAAGTCTGCGTTTGTATAATAATGTTCACCTAATTACATCGGACTATGAATTTTAATGACACTTTTGTTGGGCACACTTACCTACTTGTAATGATGCCCATCCTATAATAACAATGACCCGATTCGTTCTCATATTGATGACCTAAAATTTTCAAACAAAAATAGGTACAATCGACAAAAAATAATTTTCATTTATATAAATGAATGAATTAATTCGTAATTTCGTACGCCTCTTTCTTTCTTTCAAAATTAACAATCGATGATGAATATGATCCTGTGGCGGGAATAACTAGTCACAGAAAGGTTAAACCATGACAGTACGAAAGGCTAATTAAAATACATAGGAAAGGAAACAACAAATTAAAGGAGAGCCATGCTTACATAGACTACTACTTAATTAACCCAGAAAAAATAAAAATATACGTTCGCGTGTCCATATAATTGGCTACGAAACAAATATTATCACATTAAAGATGGATTGGACACACAATTAGCCTTCTCTCGTTGCCCCCAATGACATGCATAAGTTTTGTTTCAAACTTACGTACGTATCCAAACTCGACCTATGCCCGCCGCCCGCGCCGCACATCTTCATCTCTTATATAATAAGAATCTACAAATTAAACCTATCTGGTTATAGTACAGCTAGCGAAACAAACATAGACAGAAAAGTATGGAGAGGAGACATGCGATTGATCATATAGCAGCTACTACAATTATTACGTTCATTATCCTGATTATTGCTGCATCTTCTTGCACAGCTGAGCGGGCCGACCACCGTTGCGGCCAATACCCAGACCAGACATGGGCTACATGCGACTCGGGACGCTGTTGCAGTAGGGCTCTTTACTGCGGCGACACTAACAAGCACTGCAACCTTGGTTATTGTTGGTATCAATGCCGTGAGGTTCCTTCTCCTGATTCTGATCGTCAAAGTGATCATTATCAAGTAGCTGAAACCGGAGGAGGAGCACTCACACGTCTCGTCAACGCTACGTACAATGATAACCCCTACCTGAATTTGAATGTTAGTGGTGGTGATCATGAGCTCGTCAAAGTGCAAGCAGCTGACAATGCTGCTTCTTCTTCTTCTTCCTCGCCATCGTCGTCGTCCTTGTTGTCATGTGCAAGGTCTCTCTCCCGCCTGCCGCTGGCTTCTCGTTACAAGTATCCTTTCGCTGCTCTACGTGCTCAAAGCAACACCACTACTGCAACTCGTTGCGGTCGCTGCTTGAAGGTAATTAGTAGAACTAATAATACATAAACTGCTGTCTCTTATAAGTTATAAATCAACTAACCATGTTGCACATCCTTATGGGTGATGTATAGTGCAGCATGCACGTTCATTATATGTCACGACCATAGCCTAGATAGGGTTTCTCCTTCTCATATGTACGTGTCTATGCATTTATATAGGTCACTAATCTTGGAGTTAGAGGTCTTCCTAATCAAGTGAAGGTTCGTATTGCTCACGAGCATAACAAGCAAGGACTTGAATTGGATTTCAATACTTTCAAGAAGCTCAACATAAATGGTAGTACTGGAATTGCTGAAGGCCATCTTCTGGTGAAGTATCAGTTTGACAGTTGCTGAAAACTACATAGATGTACGTGTACGCACTTCGCCAGAGACGTGCAACTACTCATAATATACTTATAAAAAGCTACCAATAAATAAAAGTCAATGAAATAAAAATACCTACGTTTATCGTTTACTTATCTAGTTGTTAATCTCAACGATCCAACGCAAATATACAACAACAAGGATTGACTTCCATAATATATTTTTTTTAAACGATTGAGTTAATTCGTACACCTTTTCTTTCTTTCTACAAATTCAACGATCGATTAGGAATATGATCCTGTGGTGCAAGAATAACTAGATGCATAAATTTTAAACCATTACAGTAAGAAATGCTAAGTGAAATATAAGGAAAAGGGAGAGTAGTGACTAGTGCATACATCGACTATTTTAATTAATAACATTTATTTTGATATATTTTTTAGCAAAAACAGTTACGTGCGCATGCTATCAATTTTGTAAAATCGATCTGTGCATGCATAAATTTTTTCTGTATAGCGTATACATATCTTCTATATAACTAGTACATGGTATTTTTTTCCATAAAACGTGCTCAAACCTTTATTGTACATATATGTCATAAACCAGTTGGTTCCAATAACTCGAGTTGTTGGGAATTAGTTAAGCTGAATAATATTATACCATTCTCTAACACGCTCACTCAAACGAAAGCCAACCCATGGACTTGAAATTTGCACATGCCCACCATACCTTGTGTTTAATCAACTGTTAATATTGAGGGTCGTGTAGATTCGAACACACGACCACTAGGTCAAACCAGACTCTGATATAATGTCATAAACCAAATGGTCCCAATAACTCGAGTTGTTGGGAGAGATCCACGTATGGTACTTAACCACTTTCTTACAATATATATTCAAATTCTGCATTAAATGCAGAATTACCTGTACAACAAGTACAAACATTTCTTGTACAAGGTTCATCTTTCCATTAAACAAGTACATATTTTTCTGTATAGATTCTACACTATTAGTACAAAAAAAATTGTTAATATTTTATTCGCATGGGAGAATAATCAAACTCGTTGACATTTGTTCGAATTCAACCTAACTGAGATGCTAATTTAAATAATTTTGAATGAGTATGAGTAATGAGTAATTATGATTTTTTCACTATTCAACTTGGATCCTACTTATGATTACACATGCTGTAAAATCGTGCACAAACGAAAGGGACGCGAAATTTTTACGTGGTATCCGTAATGGTTAAGTTCAGCCTCTCCGCATAT